ATTGATCGCTAATTTCACAACCGAGAAAAATTCGAGTTCAGTTACTCGTTCATGTTAGCTACATACAACTGAGAAAAACAGTATGCATCCGCGCATAGAAACAAGTAGGTGGTATAAAAGGTCTAAAGAAGAGTGTTACCTTGAGCAACTCTTGAGAGACGTCACCGAGACTGTAGTTATCGTATTGTTCGTTCGCGTTGCATCGACATCCTGTGAGGTGAGGCGAGCTGTCGGCTACAAGAACCACGTGTCGTTCGGGCTCAGGACCATCGTTTCCACGCAACTCGTCATGCTGGTCGAACATCTATATAAACGGCAATTGAAAGTCAATTAGCGAACAGGCAAGAATCTGATGGTAGGTTTAAACTGCAGCTGTTTTCAAAGAACATGTCAACTAACCTCAAGCGCAGAGACAAGACCCTCGGCGACGGCATTACGGAAGACACCTCCGTATTCGAATCGAATGTGTCGCAGTTCCCGCAGAAAGGTGAGAGGGTCGTTTGTAAAGTACTTTGTGTCGACCGTCGCTGGTGAACTTGGCTGGTAGTCTCCATAAATGGCCAGTCCACATCTCACCAGAGGCTGTTTGGAGGTTAATGGTATTGGACAACGTTTGTTTTGGTATGAGTGGATGTTAATTGATTTATGGCCGAATCACATTGTGCTCTTTTGATAGCACCAACAAGTAGGGTCGTTGCTACCATGATTCATGGCACCATGGCAGGAACAATTGCTATTGGCGTCATGATCCACGATAAGGATATTAACAAGAAGCGCTTGTATTTTCGACATACCGCGTCTTTGGGTCGTGGCTGGTTCGTCTCTGGATCAATTGGAGGAGCCCGAAAGTGTCTACCAAGTATAAAAGAGAGAGAGAGAGAGAGAGAGAGAGAGAGAGAGAGAGAGAGAGAGAGAGAGAGAGAGAGAGAGAGAGAGGCGCAGAGAGTGTCAGCAGTGGCCGGACAAAGAGTTGTGTGGTTGTTAGGTCATGTCATGGTCGCACGCACAAACACCAGAGCAGGAACAATGTAGAATCGCAAAAAAGAGATTCACTATACCGGAGGATAGGTTCGATGTAAGAGATGAGTAAAAGTTCAAAACTATGCCCCATCCTAGCCGAGTTTTCGATCACAAAGACGCAAAGGATCTCTGGCCGGAGACCGGTGGGTGGACCTGGGGTGGAGACGTTGTGGAGGGGCATGGGGGATGCGCCGGCACCAGGGGAGGCGATGTTGAATGCGGGCGAGGCGACGGACGATGGGCCCGTGGTGGGGTTGGCGTTGGCGTTGGCGTTGGTTGCCAGCATTTTGTGGAGGAGTTTTCTCTGGAGAGGAGTGAGAAGGTTGTTTGTAGGAGAGTAGGAATGGGCGAAGGGATAAGAACAATAGTAAAGTCAGTAGGACAAAGAAGAAGAAGAAGGAAGAAAGGTGTGCAATAATCAAGAATCAGAACAAGGGCGACGGGTCATTTATATGGGTGGGAAACGGCCTTTATTGCGACTTTTGCTTGAAATAAAAAGAGAGCTCAAAAAGAAGGATGCTGAAGAAACAATGAAAATCCGTGCCCCACCAATGCAATCAACAGACCAAAAACGCTTTCTCAGCCTGGTCACAGCATTCTGACTGTAATTGAGAAACCAGCTCGAAAAGATGAAACCTTAAACAGAACAGAAAGCACATCCATCCCATTGACATTGCACACCTTGCTCACTAAACTCAAACCTGAACATAAACACGCCTAAACAACCAGTAGCAACTGTGTTATATATTACATAAAGGGGTTCGACTCCTCTTCATCATCACCAGGATGACCATCGCCTCCAGAGCCTGCAACACCACCGCCAAGTCCGTCCTGCCCACTGTCGCTCAGCGACAATACTTCCAGGCGCTCAAGAAAGGACGGCTTCCGGATCGCCTGCATCTCAAACAATTTGGTCCGCTCTAGCTCCATCAACACACTCTCCTCAAGAAAATCACCGCCACAACCCTGTCGCACTTTCACTCGTACCAATGCCTCCTCTGGTCGTTTCCCTGTCAAATGGATCGTAGTTCCTCGGTACCTCGACTCTGGTCGCTGTCCCTCCAAGTTCACATCTGCATCTTCTCTAGGAAGCTGAATGTACAGCGGGATCAAACTTGACCGCACCCACTCTTCCGTGTATCCCGCCCTCATAAACATCCGGTCAAGCCAGTGGACATTCGTCTTTAACGCAACAGACTTGGGTCTCACTTCCCGATCCTTGGACACAATAAAAACGACCTTGCCTGGGATCTTCACTGCAACACCATGCAATTCCGCCTCCGGTTGCTCCATCACCACATATAACTCCAATGGTCCTGTTCCATCTGGGGCTAGATCGGTCACCCAGGCGAGAATGTCCTCCATTCGACAGCATTCGTTCCTCAGCATCTGCACATAATACACCTTGACCGCATCGGTCCCTCGTGGTTCCCTGACACGATTGCTCAGACAAGCCCACGAATCATCTAGTACCAGCCGGGACCGAATGCTTGCAGGCGATGCCGCAACTTGTATCTCTGCCAGATTCATCCTGTCGAAAAGATCCAAGTGGAACGGCTCTGCAAGCATTTCGATGTTGTTGGAGTCTGATTTCGGCGATAAAACGACAGACAGAACTCGAGCGCCGTGGCCCCTTGCATCATCATTGTCTAGGTTACTCTTGATTTCGCCCGTCGAGGATGATGAGCAGTCGTCGCCTTCGCTGTTATGTTCACCACAGTTGTCATCGTGGGCTTGGGCAGGTGCATTCTCGACTCCAGGTAGAACACGCAATATCTCCGAGATCAGCTCGGCATGATACTTTAGCATAGGTGACAACTTGTCTAAACCCATTGATGACCTCAATTAGTTTCAACTCTACAAGAATATTCAGATCTAGGGACTGAACTAGAGCAAGAAGCAACACTCACCAGATATCAGAACAATGATCTGTCGCTGCATCCGCTCAGCATCGTCGAGCTGCTCGATCTTGGACAAGATCGACTGAACGAGGGGACGGTCACTGTAGTCAATGTCTGACCAGTCAAAGACTTGAGGCTGGTCTTCCTGAGAACTGTTGTGAGGCGTAAGAGGACTAGATCTGTCGGCGTGATGTTGTTGTTGTCCGTCGTTATCCGTCGTTATTGTTGTTTTCGCGTTGCTGCTGGCAAGTTCTGTTGTTGGACTCATGTCGAATGAAGTAGGTATGAAATACTTTGTCCTTGATGATCAATTGTTTGACTTTTTCTTGCTCCGTAGTTTCTGCTTGGTCGAGCTTGACAACAATTGTCGGTGATGTTGTCAATGAAAGTGGCGAAAGCTGAAATGAATGGCTCGCAGCAAAGCTGGGAAGGACCGTCCCGCATATTTCAATCGCCCTTAAATTGGCTAGGCTGATTAATTTTCTAGGTCGAGTGACGACTAAGCCAGGACATGCAAGCAAAAACGCAAGTTGGCAGCAAAGGGAAAGAGTCGGAGAAAAGAAAGTACAAAGATGAATAAACTACAATTAATAATGAAGATGGGGTATAAATATAAAAGAGGGTGTCGCTTCAGAGCTAGGTGTTGTAGTGGAGGGCGCGAAGTTTGGCAAGACCAAGGCTCTGGACATAGGTGCTCGATTCCATAAACTTTTCGTCCTTGTACTTGTTGAAAAGAGCCTGGTGCGTCTGGTCCGGTTGCTCCAGCATGGTCAGGAGGACATTGATGCCTGCCGATACGGTGTACTCGGCATATCCTGAGTAATGTTCGTGCTGCGCCGTCCACTCGCCACTGTCCAGCAGAAGCATGGATGCCCGATATCCGACTGCAGCTACCATGCTTGATGGAACGCCGATAAAACGGTGATCGCAGAGGGTCAAGTCAACCAGGTACTTGGCCAGCGTCCGTGTTTCAATGTCAAAGTTGTCGACTCTTGAAATCCTCCGGAGGAAACTCATAGGTCCAGGCGCACCCATGTCGTAGTTTAAGGCTCGGAGCATCCCAATCTCTGCTTGTCGTATCCTCGATGGGGGGTAAGCGTCACCGCCCAAAAAACTGAGCTCGGCAATGGCAGGCGATTGAATTTCCTCGTACTTGGATGCCAGCAAAAGGGCGACAGTTCCGGCCAACTGGAGCTGGTCAATTGGGATGCTGATCCTGGAGAGAAACCTGTCGAGGTAGTTGATGCAGAGGTGCATGGTTTCCTGCAACAGATCAAACCGGTCATGGACTTCCATCAGCCATTCAATGAGTCGGACACGGTGGTGCCAGCTCAGATCCACTTGTCTGTCCATGTACGTTGGGTCCGGCAGATGTTTTATCTATTTTTGTCAGCAAGAAAGTGTAATCACGGTCAATGGTTTGGCTTGACTCTGAAAGAATATCGACGGTATGGCTGTCATGAAGGGTTGCCATAAAGCTCACCTCCATCTCTCGCTTGTAAGTAAATATGTCTGCCTGGTACTCGGACACAAAGGAAGGGTCCATGTCAAAGCCATCGACTTCTGGCTCAATGTCCATATCCATGTCGGGAACATGAGGTTGGGGGGATGCAATCTCCATGGATATTTCGAACAAGGGCACAGACGGGATGACAGGGCGAGCTCGAAGACTAGGAGTGATGGTCTGTGTTGTGGGCTTGGCCTTCTTTTGGAAACTGGGTCGTCTAACAGAGGGAGCTGCCGAACGATTGGATGCGGCGGTAGCCTGCGTTCGGTGTCTCTGTGTAGGAGTAACCTTGGGTGCCGAGGGTGCTGATGGTACTGGTCGATTCGAGAGCGGTCGGGTGCGCTCACGAGTGACTTGAGCAAGCGCTGCCTGCGCTTTGGCGTGTGCCTGAGCCTTCACCTGCGCCTGAGTGGGCATCGGTGCATTTGAGGAGGAGTGTCCGACACGGAGTGCCCTATGAGCAACCGACGATTTTTGGATGCTTGCGCCGTCGTGTTTGGTTGAGGTTAAACGGGTAGAGACTGAAGGAGGGTTGGCGTAGGAATGTCTTTTGGTGGCGGCGGACGAAGAAGGTGCAGAGATTTGAGAAGATATCGGGGCAGAGACTGTCTTGACCAGGGCGGGCGGAGCTTGATTGCGGCGGGAGCGGTCAGGGGCCGCTGGGGCGGTGGACTTTTGGGCAAATGTTTCAGATGGAGCTGGTCCTGGAGTCATGGTGGCGATGGCCGCGGGGACTGAAGGGACTGGAATCGAAACTGTTGGCCTCACTCCCTTTGGTTTCTTGTCTTCCTCGGCTTCTTTGGATAGCTGGCTGGTCAATGGCCGATTCATCGCGTTGCGAGCCTGTTGGAGACCATAATGAGGATGAGGAGAGTCAGTTGGTCCATGACCTTTGAGTTCTTTTAAGCTTTTTGACTCTCTGGACGCGCGTTTGGCATATACGCTGTCGGCGTATTACGCTTCAACCAGGTTTCTTTCTTACAGGAGCATATATCCGGTGTTTCGCACAATACACCATCATTGCTTGTAACCCTTTTCTCGTTTAATTGTTCCCTTTTTGCACATTCTCTTATTTCTCTCTCATTTCCCTATGCCCCTACATACCTGGCTGCTGCTATTGGTAACTTCAGTAAGAGCAGAGGTCCTGTTGAGCAGCTGCTTTTTGACAGACACCTGTCTGAGCCTGCTATCACTGACTGCAGAGGCGGAAAACGACGAAGAAAATGGAGCTTTCTTCAACGGTATTCTTGATGTCTCTACTCCTCCTGCTAGTGCTAGTTTTGATTTTGCAGTGGCCATGTCGCTGCTGATCCTGGCAAGGGTCCTTTGGTGGACCTGAATCGTTGGTCTGTTCTCGTCCTGCCGTGCACGAGGCTGACGGATCCCAGTTGGACGCGTCAACATCTGTCTGTCTGTCTGTCTGTCCGTGGTTGTTTGACGTTTCTTGTTTTTAGTTGATGTTTTTCGGCTGTTGATTCCTTTGCAGTGTTGTGTTGAGGAAGATGAGGAGGATGTATTTGAGTGCGTGTGTTGTGATGAAGAAGGAAGGATGATGATGAAGACAAGCGGACGCAGGCGTAGGGGGTTGACACGAGCAGACAAAAATAACACAATAACAAATCAAACAAACAAAACTGTTCTCAACCAACCACAACTCCACTCACTATGCACGCACACACAGATGGACCCTTCTCACTCACACAAGCCACTCGACCATTTATCAATGGTCGCACACGCACAAACCCACTTTTTGGTTCTAGGGACAAGAGGCAAGAGACCTGCGAGCGCTCGTTCAACAAACAGGCAGTATCACACTTGGAGTGGGTTGCCATTCCTCTACTTGCACACTGACAACGAGTATGCTATGTGATAAGATATTTTTCGGACATCACTGTCTCGAACATCTATTGTGTTATGAAGCATGTTCTGAGCAACAAGTAGTTGGTGCGCCCATCTAGCGTACTGACACATGGCTTGTGCAGCAGGCGTGTGAAAAAGTAAAAAAGGTCGTTGTGGATGAGGGTGAAGGCGCACAGACGGGATGGAGCCATTGGATATTTTGCTATCAGAGCCAGGGACACAGAGACACAGAGACAGGGACAGGAAGCTGGTGGCGTAAAAAATAATAATAGTTTTCATTTGACAAATAGAGAGCGAGAGAGGTGGGACTGAAGGCTGAAGGTTGTTCAGGGTGGGATAGTATGATAGAGTGATAGAATGATAGAATAGAAAGAGAGAGTTGCGCCAGGACGGAGATATCACTGTGAGTGCTGAGTACTGTATGATGACATCGGGAGGGAAAGAGGAGGAGAGGAGAGGAGAGGAGAGAAGATGACCCGATATGCGTTTTTGCATGACGAAGGGAAAAAGAGGCATGCCGCAGCTCTCTCTCTCTACCATTCCCACACGGTGAGAGGGGATGGGCTGAGTTAACAAAGGCGTGGATCTAAAAATCAACTGCTCACTAGTCCATTAGTCCACTCGTCCCCAATGTAAAAGTAAAATGTACGCCAGAACAAGGTCCAGCCCCTATGGCAAAGTGGTGGCGCGGATGGAAGGGGTCCTCTTCAATTGACCCTCTCTGCTCACATCGACCGTTCATACAGAACAGGACTGCTTATCTCCTCTTTCTCTCTTTCTCTTTTCATGCGCTAAAAAAGAAAGAAAATCGTTTAAAAGGGACCCTCCTCTTCTCGCCATAATCCATCTTTCTCTCCCTCTTCTTCCTTCATCCACACCTTCTCTCATTTCTTTGTCCCTTCTATACCAACACTCCAACAACCAACACAAAAGGATCTAGCACACACACCTCCATCATGGATTGGATCGTTTCAAAGACAGGCACCTTGCTCAACAGCACCGTCCTGGTCCTCGACCAGGTCGTCCAGTCCGGATCCCGCTTCGAGGCCACCCTCTCCCCCGCCGCCATGAAAGTCGTCAAAGGAGGTACATTCCATGTCTGCTTCGTTATCCTCGACACCCTTACTATTACTCACTCCTTTCACCACTAGCAGCTGCTAACTTACCTAAACATGCTTCTCGTAAACAATCTAGTCATGGGGAATGATGTCCTCTCGGCCGGTTTCTTCTTGATGGTCATCGGAAGCTGCTACTCCTTCTTCAAGGACCTCTTTGTCCGTTACTACTACGAGATCCAGTCCTGGTTCTACGTCTCGGTAGAAGTTCAGGAGGGTGATGACACCTACAAGTGGCTCTCTGGTATGTTTTATTTGCATTTTGTCACTTCTGATCTCAACTTTGTTTCTTCTTTCATCTGTTCCCCCTTTTTTTTGTTCTTGAGGCTTATGTCACAGCATGTCTCTATTTTTTTTTCTTTTCTGTAACACCAATGTCATGATCTCTTTCCCACAGGCCCAAGCTGACTGACATATTTTCTCTGCATCTATTTTAGAATGGGTCGCTGAAAGACCGCTCACAAAGTCCGTTCGCCATTTGACCGTCAAGGCTGTGTGGCCTGATGACAACAACGACGACGACTACTACAACAACAACAGCAAAGATGAGCGCCCCAATCTCTTGTTCATGCCCGGCTTGGGTTCTCATGTCCTCTACCACAAGGGATACAAGATCAACGTTTCCCGCGACCGTCCCGACCAAGCCTCTGGTGCTGATAGCGAGCAATCTCGAATCTTGGCCTCGATCCAAAAGAAGCAGTGCCTCACCATCTCTACCTTTGGCTGGGACATTTCCCGCCTCAAGACCATCGTCCAGGTAACATGGAAGCTCACTTATTTTCGTTTGTCTTTGTTTAAGAACACTTCTTTGCGGGAACTGTTAACAAACAGGAGAAAATCAGGAAAAGAGACAAAGAAATCAGGTTAATGAGTTCCGACCGAAGAAAAAAAAACATGAACAGGAACATGCAACAAAGGAACCAGGTCAATGAGGATTGAAAGAAAAAACAATCGTCAAGAAAAAGACCAAAGAGAAGGGACAACCTACAGAAGGAATGCCACAGAGGAATAATAGACAGGACAAGAAGAACCCTTGAAAACATGGCAAAAATTCTTGATCATCCCTTTAACACACCCCTCGTTTGCAAAATAGGACGCTATGGAGGAATCGTACAAGAAGAAGGAAGGCAAGACCACTATTTACACCTCCCAGCCTTATGACAACTACTGGTCCGGTAGCTCAACTCGTTCCCCTCGTGCATTCCACTCTGTCATTCTCGCCGAGGGTCTCAAGGAAGAGCTTCTCGAAGGTATGCACCTCTTGACTAATCAAAAAGGGCGCATGTTGTATTTCGTTGACATCACATACAATAACGTACTAATCCACACTAAATACATTTCGCCCTCTACATCCAGACATTACAACTTTCCGCAACTCGTCCCAGTGGTACCATGATCGTGGTGTCCCATACCGCCGCGGTTATCTCCTCCACGGACCCCCCGGTACCGGCAAGACCTCCTTCATCGTCGCCTTGGCCGGTCATCTCAATATGTCTGTTTGCATTGTCAACTTGGGTATCTCTGGATTGAACGACCAACAGTTGGATCGCCTCCTGAACAACGCGCCCCGCAACAGCATCTTGCTCATGGAGGATGTCGACGCTGCATTGGTCAAGCGCAAAGCTGGAAAGGCTCAGGAGGGCGGAAACAACGTTACTCTCTCCGGAATTCTCAACGCCCTCGACGGTATCACTGCTCAGGAGGGAAGCGTTGTCTTTATGACCACCAACCATATCCGCAAGCTCGCCCCTGCCTTGATCCGCCCTGGACGCTGTGACAGAAAGATGCTCTTTGATTATGCTGACAAGCACCAAGTCGAAGGCATGTTCATGAAGTTCTTCTTGAGCCGCCCTCCTGTTGCTCCCAAGCCTGCACCCAAGTCCCTCTTCGACTCTACCACTGCCACTGCCGCTGCCCCTACTGCATTGCTCGATTTGGACTCCAAGGAAAAGGGACGCAAGGAGGCTTACGACGCCATGATCAAGCGCACCGCTACCAAGATGGCCGAGGCCATCACCTTCAAGGATGCCGTCACCACCGCCCAGCTTCAGGGATTCTTCATGCTTTATCGCGACGACCCGGAGAACATCCTGGACGAGGTCCCTGGTTTCTTGGCAGAGTTGGCTCATGAGCGCGAGGTTTTGTCGAACAAGAAGGTGATTCGTCGCCAGCGCCGTGAAAAGAAGAAGGCCAAGAAGGAGGAGGTTGAGAAGAAGGCCAAGGAGGCCAAGGTTGCTGCAGGAGAGCCTATTGACAGCAGCGAGGACGAGGACGACGAGGATGAAGACGATTCTGGATCGGACTCCTTCTCGGACTCGGACTACTACGAGGAGGCCAAGAAGCCCAACGGCTCTGCGTCTGCCAAGGAGATCAAGTCTATCAACGGTGTCAAGGCTGCTGGAGGGGAACAGGAGGTTCCTGCTCAAACCGAAGCCAACGCTGCCGCCGCTGTTTAAGCCTTTTCTTCTTTTTTCCTTTGTTTGCAAATATTCCCTTTTTGCAACCCTCACACTTATCAATTAGAACCCTCTCACACCATGTACATTACCACAACACATTAAAAAAAGACATTGAATTCCATTCTTCTCTCTGCGCCATGTCCTCTGCACGCTACGAACCTTTCCTTTTTCTCCAATAGCATGGAAAGTGAAAAAACATGTGCATGAAAAAAAGGAAAGTATTCTAGTTTATTTTTTTGGTGGGTGCATGTTGATTTACAGTTCGTCGTGGGCAGCCTCCTTAGGCTCGTCGCTATCGAGCTCCTGCTCAGCCTCGGCAACGATATCGTCGACGTTGACCTCAACCTTTTTGCCGCCGGGTCCAGCCTGGGGTGGGTTGGTGCTCTCAGTAAACTCCTTCATCATCCGGTTGAGTTCCTCAGGGGTCATCGAGCCGGGCTCAACATCATCGGCCTTGAGGATATCGCCTCTCTTTTCAATCTCAGCCTCAATCTCTTCCTGCTCACGGTCCTCGGCCTGAGGGACCTCAAAGGTGGCCTCGGCGGCCTCGTCAACGCCCAAGTTGACACGCAACATGTTCTCGACACGTCCGGCAAAGGCCTTGACGCCCTCCTTCAAGGTGTATCCACTACGTACCAGCGTAATGTCGTACAGGACCTTGGCCATCTCCTGAAAGTGCTTGTCGTTTTCGAATGCCGTGGGGTCCTTGCTGGCGCGCTCCAACATTCCAACGATCAAGGGGTGGCCGGGGTTGATCTCGAGAATTTTCTTCTGGCTCTTCATGAACTGGTGCATGTTGGCATCCTTGTTCTGCTTGGCCTGGCCCTCCATCAAACGCTCCATGTTGGCAGTCCATCCGAAATCACTGGCGACCAAGGCGGCAGGGGAGGTGGTCAGACGCTTCGAGACACGGACTTTCTCAACGTCGTTCAAAAGGGTAGCGTGCATCCAGTCGAGCAAGGGCAAGAACTTTTCCTCGAGAGCCTTCTCTGACTCGGCGTCGGTATCCTCGTCTCCGAGCTTCAAGGACGACTTGGCGACGTTCTGGAAGGACTTGCCCTCAAAGTTACCCATGTGCTGGAGGACAATCTCGTCAATGGGGTCGTCCATGTAGAGGACCTCGTATCCACGGGCCAAGAGCGACTCGACAAAGGGCGACTGCTTGATCTCGTCAACATTGGCGCCTGTAAAGTAGAAGATATCCTTCTGGCCCTTCTTCATGCGAGAGACATACGACTCCAAGGAGGTGTACTTTTCAGAGTTGGAGGAGTGGTAACGCAAGAGACGGCCGATCTTCTTGATGTGGGCCTTGTCCTCGAGGGCTCCGAGCTTGAGGCTGGTACCGTACTCCTTGATGAAACCGGCGTACTTTTCCTCGTCGGCGGAAAGGGTCTTGAGGAGATCAAACATCTTCTTGACCAAGTGCTTGTGGATCGACTTGATGCTCTTGTTTGACTGGACAGTCTCACGGGAGACGTTCAGGGGGGCATCCTCGGCATCGACAACGACCTTCAGGAATCCGAGCCAACGGGGCAGGAAATCGGCAGAGTCGTCGGTAATAAAGACCCGCTTGACATAGAGCTTGACGTTGGTGTGGACGTTGTCGACACGCTGGAAGAGGTCCTTGGGGGCCTTGTTGGGGATGTACATGATGGCCTTGAACTCGACATCACCCTCGGCCTTGAAGTGGCTATAGGCCATCGACTTTGCCTCAGGTTCGCGAGTGAGGACAGAATAGAACTCCTGGTATTCAGTTTCAGTGACAGACTTGGGGTCGCGGATCCAGATGGGCTTGTTGGAGTTCATGAGGTCGTCTTCCTGATAGGTGACGGTGACGGGGGCAGCGGGGGTCTCTTCCTTGGCATCCTCGACCTTGGGCTCCTCCGAGTCGTCGGTGTCGACTTCCTTGGGTGTCTCAGCCTCGACGGTCTTTGTCTTTGTGCGGCGGAGGTAGATGGGGAAGTTGATGAACTCGGAGTACTTTGCGACGAGCTGCTGGATCTTGGCGTCGTCGAGGTACTGGTCCTGATCCTCCTTGAGGTGGATGGCGATCTGGGTACCACGGCCGAGGGTGTTACCGGCGGGGTCCTTGGCGATGGTGAAATCGTCGACAGCGGTCGACTCCCAGATGTACTGGTCGTCGTTGTTGTTCTTACTGGTGACGCGCACCTTGTCAGCGACCAAGAATACCGAGTAGAAACCAACACCAAACTTTCCGATCAAGTCCATGTCCGCCTTGTCTCCTGAAAGAGTGTCCAAGAACTCTGACGTGCCCGACTATATAGAGTGATGTATAAAACGAGGGGGGGGGGGGGTTAATTTAGTGCGCGACAAAGCGTTAAGAACAGAAATGAAGGCGTAACGCGTTCAGTGCATGTACGTGTACGAATCAAGCGTTTTTGTTGGATCAAGTATCGTCCAATATCCGCATGTATCAGTCACCCTTTCTGATGCTTAGCTTTCGTCTATCGGTGATACTGTAGCAATTGCCCATGTTGTTTCTCCTGTATTCGTCTGAATATCCATGTCGAATGGGTGTAGATCTTTCAATTGCCAACTCTCCAATATCCATATGGAGCAGTTGTATGTCTTCCAACCGCCTTTTAGGTTATCCAATGATCAATTGCTTCAGGTCATTCAAGATAAAAAAAACCACAAGTGAGGGTTACCTTAGCGATGGTGCCGAGGTTCTTTTGGAGATCCTCTTTGGTCATACCGATACCGGTATCGGTGATGGTGATGATGCGCTTGTCCTTGTGGACGGCGATGGTGACGTTGAGGTTTGGGTTGGACTCGAGTGCAGACGAGTTTGTGAGGGATTGGAAGCGGATCTTGTCGAGGGCGTCAGAACCGTTGGAGATGAGCTCGCGCAAGAAGATCTCGGGTGTCTTGTACAGCGAGTTGATAACAATGTTCATCAAACGCGACACTTCCGTCTATTTGTTGTCGGATATAAGAACAAAAGTAAAGAAGGCAACGATGGTTGTTAGATTCGATCAATGAAAGCACCATGCACAACCATTCCACTTTGGACAAGAGGAGAGGGAAAAAAAAGATAGACGCGTCCTATCGATAAAGAAGATAGACTTACCTGGAATTGGTACTTCTCGCCTTGGATGATCTGAGGCTGCTGGCTATCAAAGGCAAAGTTGTCGGGGAGAGCGACCTTCTCGCCGGGCTGGTTGAAGGCAGCCTGGGCAGCGGGGTCCTCGGCAGCAACGACGGAGATGGCAGCGATGATGCTGAGCAAAAGGAATGACTTTCTCATGGCTAAGTGGGTATTATATATATAAAAAGTGGGAAAGGGAGGGATGGACTAAGTACAAGAGAAGGGTGATGAGTAAGAAGAAAGGAAAGGGGTAATGAACAATGGAGAGGGAAGTAGGGAAGAAGTTGTTGAGGGGAAAGGACAAAAGAAAAGTGTGGAGAAAAAAAAAGAAGAGAGGAAAGAGGAGTGAGGGGCGTTGACTGATATGTATATATATAAGTGTTCGAGGAGAGGAGGGAGGACTGTTAGGTTTGAAAAAGGGTGTCGCCGTCGTCCGTACTAATTGATCAACGGATACAAACAGCGGGGGGCAGTGCTTTGTTGTCGGCACACGATTCGTTCGATAGACTGGGAGCCATGATCATCACGATCCACGATATGTACTGTACAGTATGATAGTAATCTCCCTTCCATCCATCGACAGGCACAACATACCAGGGCTCTCTTTCATGCACAAGACACAAGACATCCACCTTTCCCCTTACAACTCAGGCACCCCATATCCCATATCACACTTTTGATCAGAAATAAAGTCTTGATTTGCCTCGGACCAATTGACGGCCGCCAACAGATGTGCGATCATCACTCAAAACGAGGGCTGTGCCTGGATTTAAAAATATCCTGTGATTCTGAAGACATTATTTCCACACATAATTATTCATTGAACGATTAATTTGACGAGGAAATAACCTCTCCTGCATTGTCTGCACTTTGTTTGTCATGCGTGTATATCGCACCGCTTGTCCCTCCTCTGCCTCAACTCAATTACTACATCTGCAGCAACAAGAAAGGCACAGCGTAGAGTCAGCCTTTGCTCTTCACATCAACAAAACGCGCTCCGACTCGAAAATTCATTCATCTGTTGGTCATCACTACACAATACACAACAAGCGCCACACACCAGGTTTCATAAATGAGCTCTGCTGTCAGCCCTCCACGCAAGTCTCGGAGGATCAAGGCCAGCAATGCTGCGCCCGAGCCAGAGCAGACAAAGGAGGAACTAGCCAAGGCCGTACAGCGACTTGAAGACGAGCTCGAGGAACTCAATTCTGTCAGGGACCGACTCGACAGCAAGGTCACCCAGCTCGAAGAACGCGCCCAGTTCCTCGAAGCTGACGCTCGCCTCAGTGCCAGCATTGTCGCCAAAGAAATGATGGACCTCAAAGAGAAGGCTCGAGAGCTCGAAATTGACCTCTGTAAGTCTCTCTCTCTCTCTCTCTCTGACAAGTGATTTCTTGTTATGCTGTTATGGGACCCCAACCGCACAAATACGAAGGAGTGGACGCGAGACCATTATGTTGTCATGCTCTTCACCTTTTCCATTGTATTTTTTACTTTTCACTAACTGTCATTCATCATTCCACACCCACGCAATTTATCTACCTACGTCTCTGCAGCACTGGCAATGGATGGGCGCGACTCGTTGCAACAGGAACAGCCGGATCAAATGCAGACATCTGAACGTGATGTAAGGTCAACAACCCCCAGCTGCTGTAAAACTAAAGGTGCTATCAAACTGCGAAAACATACTGACATTATCACTTGTTTTTAACGGACGTGAATTCCTTGTAGGATGAGGCAAAACAGCTGTCGATTCAGCTCAAGGAGGCGTGGCTCCGGATATCGACCATGAAGGCGGCTCAGGAGGAGACGGTGAAGAAGCTTTTCAAGGCCGAGGAGACCAACGCCAAACTGACAAAAGAGGTTTCCACGGCTGAGAGTCTTTACAACATCACAAAGTCGACACTGTCGGATGAGGAGAAGCGATGGAGCCTCGAAAAGGAAGAGTTCGCAGGGGAAATCGAATCACTCAGGGTAGTTGTTTATCTTGGACTTTTGGCCATGTAGAATATGATAACATTGTCATTTAGGATCATTTAGAGGGAACCAGACTAACATATTGATATCCTCGTGTTTTCGCTTGCAGGCCAAGCTGATAGGGTCGAGTTCAAGCAGTGGGGCTCAAGTAATGGACTGGGAACAGGACAAGAAGAGGATGCGGGACAGCATCAAGCACGAGCGGGCTACATGGGACAAGGAAAAGAAGGGACTGATGGACCAGATTGCATCGCTCAAAATCAAGGCGACCGCACTCCACATGCAAAAAGTGCCACCGCCAGAGTGGGTTTTGGAGAAGCACCAATTGAACGTCCAGTGTTCGTCTTTGCAGAGCCGTGTGGCCATTATGGAGAGTGAACGCACCGTCAGCAGTAACCAGCACAAGAATCAGGTCGCCAAGTTGGAGAAGAAGGTTGAACTATTGCGCAAAAAACTGTTGGAGGTCATGGAACTCGCTCAAACACTTGAGGCAAAGGCTAAAGAGGATTCGAAGCAAGCAACCAACGGCAAAAAAGTAATTGCTTGCAACACTGACTTGCTCTATGATGGAAATGATACTGATAGTTAAACCAGGCTAACAAGATCTTCCCTACTTTTCTTACTCAATCTACTTAGGGTGCTGCATCCCGTGCTCGCAAACCCAAGAGAGTGCGGAGCGTCAAGGAGACCGACTCTGAGATGGAGAGCGAGCCGGAGGCTGCCGAACCGGTGGTAGCCCCTGCAGCGCCAGCTCGACCTGTTCGTAGTTCGAGGACAAAGGGGGCTGGAGGAGGCTTCAAGAACGTCCACTATGCCTTTGACATTACCTCTTCCAGTGACGATTCTTCAGAAGAGGAGGAAGAGGATGACGAAGATGATGACGACGCTAACGACGAAGCAGGGGCTCCAGAGGTGGATGAAGGTGACAAGGGCAATGTCAACCGCGCTGTTTCTTCAGCGGAGGCTGACACCGCTGCAGGATCGAACCAAGACCAAGACATGGAGGAAGTTGATCGGGCGGCGTCTCCTTCGGGGGCTGGCACAAGGAGGTCCATTTCAGGACGAGGACGTAAAGGAACAGATTCTGACGATTCAAAGAGTTCCGACTCTGAGTTCGAGCCCCCCAAGAAGGTTGCGCCCAAAGGACGAGGTAAACAAGCCGCCAAGAAGCAGACCAGCCCAGCTCCAGAAACCGCCGCCAAAACGTTGAGCCGACCTTCCAAGTCGAAGCAAAAGGACAATCCAGGACAGGGCTCAAAAGTCAAGGTGGATTCCAAACGTAAGGCAGCCGCGACTGCAGAGTCGACGCCATTGTCACCAGAGTCCATTGCCGACACACCCACATCCGTATCCTCTACCACCAACTCCAATGCTCCCAACACGCCAGGACAGACGCCAACATCGGCCGCATCACAGGCACCCGGATCCTCTTCTGCTGCAGGGACAGATGGAAGCGTGGCCCCTGCTCAAAAGATCAAGAAGAAGCGCAGACTGCTGACAGGAAAAGGACTGGATGACTTGGGAGACATTTTGAACGGCCCAGGAATGACGGCTATGGCTTCTCCCTCCAAGGGTCTGCAGTTTTTGCCCAAGGCAAAGATCAATGCCGGGAGAACTACGCTCTTTAGTGGCGACAAGCCGCCTGCTCCAAAGGAGGCACTGAATGCGATCAAGATGGCCTTTGCCCTTCCGAAAGCGCGCAACCTCTCTCCCCCTCGAAATCCGAAATAGTTTTTTTTCTCGTCCCTCACTCTTATTGTTCCTTCTGTTTAGATATCCTCCAATGTAATATATATTTCTACACCAGTTGTTCTTTTTTATGTTGTTGTTGCAGTAAACATGGAGGACATATGTTCGATAGCACGACTCGATAGTTGAGGCACCACTTTGCATTTCAGTGCTCATTCCCTCATCCAGTCCACCTTCCAGAACACACCCACACTTCTTCGGTGGGTTTCAGACTGCATGCCATTTTTTTCTTTCGTTGTCGGCGCACAAAGGACGCGTGAATGCGCGTTATGACACGCGACATATATCATCTTTTCTACCTCGTTGTTTCTTTATTCGTTCTCTTCGCTGTGACCTTCCCACTACATCTGCTGTAGTGGCGAATGTGATGCCCACATCGTACTGACTTGCTGCGAGGACTGATCGATCGTGACTAACAATGCACATTCTTTCAAACAAGTCATTGTGACCCTGCACCTCGATTCAGTCCATCTGACTAACATTCAACAAGGAGAGATAACTAAGCGAGTGAGAGACTTGTTTCCTATGGCACCTTTTCCTTTCCGTTCATACTTTCTCTTTTCTTTTTGCTACCATTGCTTTTGCACACGCGCTTTGCTTGTTTTTCATCATAGCATTGCAGCCCATCAATAGTTTTTTGTCACTACTGTTCGCTCCTCTCTTTCGTCGTTCCTATAGATTGCATGTTTTTGCAGAGAATTTTGTACACTTTACTTACTTCAAGATTTCAAGATCGTCAGCCCTGGTGTATTAGAGAAATGGTGGATCTGGAACGATGCTGTCTTAAAGGCACTGTGCTATATCGACATGACGACAAACTATCATGTCCCTCTTGCAGAGCTGTTTCCAGCAGGTGCGACTCATGGACACATCCTTGTCGATATACCGTTGTGGGTTCGTTCGGATATAGCAATACATCATGCGGAGAACGACCGTACGCCACCCGATATATGAGTCGATCATTCCAAGTGCTACAATGTCCAGTGGCCTCAGCGAAAGAATAAAAAACTGTATTAATAAACAATTCTCATGCCAATAACAATTTCATATCTTCATGTCGAACTGTTGTCATTGACACAAAAAAAATGTCAGCAATTTCACTCGAAAGTAACTCCATCGAGGACCAACCTCACCAAGACTCTCTCTTGTTATTAACAAGATATTCTTGGTTACGAATGATCTATGTCACTGTCGAACCCGCCCCTAGTTCGCTTTACAGCCTCCCGAAGTTTGGTCCAAAAAGAAGGCGGCATACACCATATCCGCCAGTAACAGATATGATTTATGTATAAGAAAATACATGGATCGAGTTGTGGTTATAGGGGGCGCTATAATTACACACTTCGGTGACTTAATTATGGCGTCCATTGTCCTGCTTTCAATACGAATACGCCCTTTCATGCTACCTTCCATCTCCATCACTCTCTTCCATCACTCTTTCACTCTCCCTTCCACCTTTTATCGCCATAACGGCCTTTTCAAAGCGATGGAGCACTGTAAACCGATAGGAAATGGGCGTACAGGGAGAGCCTGTATAAACGGTTCGTGGATCCATTACCATCACGCCCGGCCAGGGAAAGGTCTACAGCGAGACATTGATGGTTTGTAGCGCCTTCCACTTTCCGAAGGGTCTGCCTCCTTGCGCTTGAATTCGAATCGAGTTAGGTCGCTGACCAGCAAGGTGCCATCCAAACCAAATGCGTGTTCTCAATCTCTGCCCAACTGCTCTTCAGTCGTAAGTAGAAATCTTGAGGAAAACTTATGCACTTCGTACTCTTTCATCTACAGTTGCCAACCATTGTCGAGTAAATTGGGAACTTTTATGAACAACCTGATAACCGCTCTTTGCAGCTACGTTGCGAATCTGTCTACTCTATTTATCGAAATCAAGTACACAATCTCCACATTCCTCAACAACGCTTTAAACGCAGGAGTCTTCACGTAGTAGAAAACACCTCCTCGTCGTTCCCCACCGAACTGGATCCTTTGCGCGGACGACCGACTTGACGATCTGAGGGATAGGAAGTTGCCTAAGCCGAATATGTCATACAGAAAACAATAATCATTGATTAATATTTTTTTGATAAACTTTTTTCAAGTATGAAAACAAATGCCTACCGTCCGCTTCTTACTGTACATCCCGCACGATTCTGACGACGCCTGACCACAAGTCAAACTTTTCCCAGTGAGCCATTACCGCCACGAGAGCCCAGGCTGAGGCCAGATCGATAGAATAGAGACATTCGCAGTAGCCCTCTTGCCTTAGGAGTTCCTCGGTTCCTCACCGAACACACAGAAGCACCCTCTTAATAAAAAAAGAAAATCACAAAAACACTTACAGCATAAAAAGCGTGGAGAACGACACGCCGGTAAGGAGTCATGGGCATAAGTGAGAGTTCTATGATTTAAAGAGATGATTACCGATAATGAAAGCGTGACGACTCTATGCAAACCAAGTGATGGTGAGGTCAAACTCCAGCACCCATGGGGAATAGACTCGCCTGCATACTGTGCGATAGCAGAGATCCAGATAAAATGTGCCAGTAACAAAAGGCTATTTGCTCTGACTTCGTGTACCCCAACCTTATTTTGTGATTGCTCTAAGCGTAGCCGCCTAAAGGTCCTTGAATCAGCGGCAGCTATTTTTTGGACGCGAGAATATGACGACAGGAGTAAGAATCTAGTAAGAGGTAAACCTTCTACCACTCGTTGAAACGCGCCAGTATTCGTACTTTCGTCTTCGACCTCAAGAGCTTTGTGACAGGCCTGATTCGCTGCAGATGCCGGCGTTTCAGGTGTGGCTACTGGGCAATCATTGTGTCAAGGATTACTTTAACAAATGTCAACATAGAATAAAGTGCAATAGGATTAGCAACAGCCATGATGACAAGAACTTACGATCCTCTCTCCCAGGGTTTGTTTTACATCGGCTACCGACCGTTATTGTTCGCTTACTAACCTTCAACCTCGTCCTCGGCACGAAGGACTCGTCCGACTCTTTCATTTCCAACACATATTTTTGCTGCCAGCTGCAAGTTGTCCTTCAGCAGACCCACGGAAACCATAACCGCGTCCACTGCCAAGTGATTCGACACAACCTCAAAAGGTGAGAGTGGGCGCAGTAGACCGAGCTGGTTTGCCCCGATCAGGCTCCAAATACTACAAAAAGGTTTGCATTGCTGTCTTCAACAGAAAATATTTCCATTTAGAGATGATTCGCTCACCTTCCACAGACTTGCTGGTGTCACCTCCATGCTGGACAGCAAACGCCTCTGCCAACCAGCGATCAAGTCTCTCATTGTAAAAGAACGGATGCCAACCTGCGTCTTTTCTCGCGTCAGCGGATGAGGAGTGCTGGTGAGTATTTTAGGGCGACAGCCATCCGGAGTGCACGCCGTGTCTGGAAAAACCTCTTGTCAATTCCAGGACGTCTTATTTCCCCTGCGCCTTTGCCATTCTTTGTCTGTCCTTTCATTTACACGTCGCCCTCCACTACACACTACACAACATTTGTTCGTCACATTTTTTTCTTTATCCATCAGTGCTTTCTCTCTCTCTCTCTCTCTCTCTCTTTTTTGGTAAACGTGATCTGTCAGACTTGAATGCATAAAGCAGTCTGTTTTCGTGATTCTGAACAACACTTGACCAATGCATTACCTTCTTAAAACGGGCATTTACAAGTACGTTGGGTAGCCTATGCAGTTGGGATGTGGTCTGGTGGTCAGCTGTTTTTACGCCCAGACAGCGACGGTTGATAACGCTAAGCTATTTCACTTCCAGGTCCTGCATGGTTTGTAATGTAACTACTATATCACATTTTCGGATTCAAATCGATTATGTACAATACCTTGTACCATGGAACCATATCGCATCGAATGGGCTATCATGAAAGTCGACGCCGAGCGTCTCTATTTGTCTTTTGCGACAAAATTCAAATATAGCGACAGACATATTATTGTTACGTCGTGTTCAGATACTATTCAGAGAAAGTCTTATAGCTAACTTGATACATTGATAAAGGTCTGATTTTCAAGGATCCCAAGAATAAAGCAACCTGCGCCTCTTCATGGTCCTTATGTTGTGTCTTTATTATCGATAGGTCATCAACATCTTCAATCGGTGCTAGAAGGCGGAATTCGGTTGCCCTTGACGTAATATGAGGGACGACGCCAGCTTCCGCTAATGTTGTGCTCTCTGTTGCGCGTCTTGGCTGCATTAAGGTTTCTTGAGATCATCTCCTACTCAAGTTGTGCCTTAAGTAACAGATAGACATATATGTTACCAATAAGAGCAATATAAATAATCACTTACATGCGCAAGCTTAGGGGGCCTTTCAACTCCAAATCGTAATATGGTATTTGTTATATCTTTGCAGATCTTGACGATATCCACAGCGACCATTAAAGGAGAGTGTATGTATGATATCAACCATGTAAAACAACCACTGTAACATGCCTTGTGTGACTATCCTACTAAACACCATGATATCCTTCAAAAAACAAAGTCTTCTCACTTTTCGCACCCCAATCACTTGAATGTATCCATCACAATTAAACTGTATCCCTCACTGCAAGATTAAGGGGAGTAGTTGTTGTATTGTTACTCAGGGGAGAGGGTCGACGGCCAGAGTTGTAGGACCGCTGTTAAGTCCTCAATTGGTACGGAGGGGGGGGGGGGAAGGGGGTTGTAGGTTGGAGGGGGGAGAAGTGATAATAGCGTCCTAAAAGAATCACACGAAACGATACACTGCAGCGCGCCAGCGAAACTCTTGTCAATACTGCTCTCGTCCAAGAAGTGATGTGTAAAAGGACAAAGAGCAGACAAGAGGGCTCGGCGCACTACTAATACTATGTCTACTAAAGAATATGACTGCTAACCTAAGGCATCGCCGCCACTGCCTAGCCACCACATCTTTTTGTAACAGTATGTGATCATCTAAAGCACTTGTACTCTCTACTGCGACTTTGCTGTGAAATACAGGGGAGAGATTGCATTTTAAAAAACCTTGTGCTGTCTGTTGCTATTTTATTCTATGTTCTGTTGCCGACTATGACGAGATATGTCAGCTATGGAAGTCAATACTGCATTCCTTGGGCTTTGGATATTTTTTATATACTTTTTTACATCCTTTGCACATGGAGAGGCTGCTTAAGCGGACCCAGTGCTGGGCAAAGAAGACTAAGCTGGAGATTGTTTTGCGGAAGCTCAAACACTCCAACAGTTTTGACAACATGCAGGGCCTCATAAACTAATGACACTATGGCAATCTCACAGCAAGAGCGTAGGAAAATCTCAAGTCAATGCCATAATCATTAAGAGAAAGATGCATTGCCAAAACGCAGAAAAAAACCAAAAAAACAACCAAAAAACTTACCTCTTAACAAGAATCCAACCACCTTTGGATCCGTGACACCAGCAGAGGGCATGCGATCTAGCATCAAGTTCTGCATACAAGGAAGCCTCCACTGATCTCCCTGGATATCGTCATCCATGGCCCCTGGCTTCTTGATGTCAGCAATCACAACAGCAAACTCATCGTATTCTCCAAAATAATCGAGGTTATACACCTCGTCAAATCCCATAGGAGTTGGCAGCGGTTCTCAACTCCTAAAGCAGACAACGGCATGGACTGAATATTAACGAGCTATTCGTATTGAGCATGAAATCATCAACTGCACGTTCTGGCTTACCAGCGATCTAACAGCTCTAGATCCCCGACCACACCAATAATAACACCTTTCACAATGGCCTGCGTGTATGTGACTTCGTTCTGTACAAGCCAGGATGATGATGGCATGGGGTATGAAGTACACTGCTGCCTAAGATTGGACTTTTCAGTATAATGACGAAGCAAGATTCTGTTCCGAACGTGTTTCTTGCTGTCGAGGAAAGAATGTGATGCCACAAACTCGGAGCAGTCGAAAAGCAACTTCTTTTCCTCGTCTGGTACTGTGGGTATCGAGACAGAGAGTAGCGAGGCCTGTCCGTCCTTCGGGACATGCTTCTTCAGAAAGGCGGCATCGAAAATGAAGTTGAGCGTTCTATATTCCTCATGCATTAGAAAAAAATAGAAGCGAGCATGTCAGATAACCATGTGCTACAGGATCATAGTATGCACTAACATCGTGCATACACACCTCAACCCTTTACTCCATATTCCTTATTCCCTATTCCCTTGTACCATCATCCCTCACCTATCCTTCCTTACCCCTAGTAAACTACCCATGTCATACCCTAGCCCTCCGTACAATAAACACTATCCGTTTCTAGCATTTCTTTCTCGTCCCTAGTACTCTCTTGTCACTCCTCTCGTTCTTGTCCTCTCTGTCTCCTTGTTTATATCCTCTTGTTCTGTCCCTGTTACACTCTTGCACCGCTCCTATTACACCATGCAGCAAAAGTCACTTACAGCAAACCCGAAATATCCTTCAACTCGCTCTGCTTCTTGATCAGAGACCTTCTTGCATCCAATAAAGCCTGAGAAACGTCGACATGGTCTATCACGAGGCGGTTGTTTGTGGTAATTCGCGATGATGTGGTGCCTGGTCCGACTAGGTGGTCGATAGGGAGGAAATCAATAGAATTCAGGGATGATCGACCAGATGACGGTTTAGAGTCGACATAATCACTCCCAGATTCCGCAGAAAACTCGACCTCCAGGATGGTCACTTTTCTAGGAGATCGCTTGTGTCTTGGTGTTTTCAAATCACCCTCTGTGGCTTCAGAGTCAGCGTCAGGAGCTGATCTTTTAGACGGGACCGAAGTGTTCGTGAATACTTCCTCGTTGCTGTCTACTTCTCCACCTACACCTTGGACAGCCTCTATCAGAGCCAGAAAAGATAATATTTAGTTTTCTGTCGATACCACAACAATGAAACACATGATACAAACAATGATGGTATTTCTTACGCTCCGCTTGATATTAGACAAACGTCCGTAGGACGCCACCGCCGATACGTGGGAGGAAGAGATGTTCCCGAGCATCAACATGTTGTGGAATTCCGTCCGACATTCATCCACGTCGAGTTTGTATTGGATAGCTGATGGGTCTCCGCGTCCACGTTCCTTGCCAACATATGAGGTAAAGCAGGAATATTGCTGTTCAAAGGTGCTGTGACCGTGGGTGTCATCAACCACATAGTCTTTAAATGTCTTCATCTAAAAAACAACTCAAACTGGATATAGCAGGGTTAATAACTTGAGTTTTGTGTATGAAGAGCCAAAAATTGAAAGCAATGGTCAAAAAGGGAAGACCTCCAATCTCTGCCCGCCCCTGTGAGGCATCAGATGAGCGACAGTGAGCATAACCAGACGAGAGACCTTCTGGACAGCGGCTAAAAGTCCGCACCCGTATGAATGAACAGTTAAGAGCTGTACATCCCACCCTCACAGTCACAGTTGGAGTAGTGAATAAATTCAAAAGTTAAAGATTAAGAAGAGAATTGACTCCATCTCTGCCCGCCCCTGTGAGGCATCAGATGAGCGACAGTGAGCATAACCAGACGCAGAGGCCTTCTGGTCAGCGGCTAAAAATCCGCACCCGTATGAATGAACAGCCAGCGCTGTACATCCCACCCTCACAGTCACAGTTGGAGTAAAACAAAGGTGTACATCAATGAAAATTTGCTTAAAAGTACATCACCTTCGATAACGCAGAGGACCCAGGAGAGGTAGAGATGGTGGTGATATGAGGGATGATGACGTGAAGAGCGTAGAGAATGGGACGATAATGGAAGGCAAGGCTAGGAGTGGCAAAGGCGATGAAAGCGCGCTTAGGATGGTGAGTGGAAGAAAATGAAAATAAGCGCAAAAATTACGTCACTGAAGACATACTTAAAGCATCCACTGCCTGACAATCATCAAGAGGCTAGTCTATCCCTTAATCCGTAGAAGGGGATAATGTAAACTATAGTTTCTATCTATAGAGGTTAGGTTTGTTTGGGGGGTCTTGCAAGGGGCTCGGGCCGTCCTAGAGACTTGAGGTACTGTTCTCCGATCAAAGCGATGTTGTGCGCCCCCACTCCATCTCGGTGAATCCACCGAGTGCACTCAACACAGGCGCATGTCCTCATCGACGGCTTGGCGAGGCGGGTGGCTCGGTTCTCAACCACACATGTTGGACACATGGTGGAAGTAAGATACTCGTCGACCAGGGCAGCCTTGTATCCGAGCGCAGCACTCTATCGGTGCAGGAATAATAAAATTGTGTTCCATAGATTTGCCATGGCATCATGAGTGCACACAATCAAGACAAAAAGATACAACCATGCCTTTCACAATTTTTTTTTGCCTTTCGTACCTGCTGTAAAAGACGTCTGAGAAACGTGGTGTGCACCGAAGAGAGATTAAAGCCAGACCGGAAGGTTCCATTCCCCAGGGCAAAAAAAACTTTTCTTTGGTGGACGGGTACGCCCTCACATGCCTCATCCACCATCCGCAAAACGCCAGCGACGGCCAGATCCAACTCCGACATTTTCGCCATTCTGTGCTCGTGAACCGCTACCTTCCATTCTCTTGACGCGTAAATCCCGTGGATCAGCGGTTCCTGCTCGTAGTACTTCTTGTGAGCTGCCGTCAAAGCATCCAACGAGGTGTCGTAGTTCGTTGAGGGGAGAGAATTCTCTAGGTCGTGGACAGACGGGAGAGTGGTGAGCTTGTCCAGGTCGGTAATCCGTGTCCAAAGGGATGAGTCGACAACATCGCCTGGACCAGCTGTTGGGTGTCGCCTTTTCCAATGCTGTTCCCAATCTCGGAAGGCCAGAGTAGGCTGGTATAGGGAGGCCCTCTTGATCAGCAGATTGATGACTTTTCCACCGGGAAGTGTCAAACAAAATGCACCACTCACTACCTCTCCGGGATCAATACCGACGACAATGACTGAATCCAGGTCGTCGCCAAACGCGTCGATAAGATGCTGCCGCGTTGGATAAAGCTTCTCGATCCTAGAAAGAAACTCACTGTAATTTGGGGATTGGCGGGGTTTTGTAAGGTCATACGCGAGAATCTGCAGCTGGTGGCCATCCGTCCTGATATAGTTGTTGAGGGCGTAGCGGTAAGAACGCGGCTGCTGACGTGGGGTGGGAAGAGGCGGTGGGGTGGAGGTCGTCGATGACGATGGCGTTGATGATGGCAACGGTGGTGTCGGGGCCGTGAGGGAGGCGTTGTGCCGTTCTCGGAAAAAATTGACCTTATTCGTCAAATACCGTGCGAGCTCTAACTGTCCGTAGATGTGTGGATGGGCCTCCTCACGCTCAGCCATGGTTGTTGTCCTCTTCCCGTATGTCGTCTGCTGCTTATTCCTGGCTTCCTTGATGACATCTCGGTCACCGATGAATAGTTCTTTGATCACCTCTCCGTACGAAGAACGCTGTTTTGCCGCTGCCCAGTTGTGAGTGTAGCGGGTGTCCTCCCATACGTTGTCCAACTGAACTGCCTTCTCTCCCCAGAGAAGCGCAACCAACGCTTCCTCGTTGATGTCGATGAAGGAATCGCTCATTTTGGCCTGGGTGCAGAACCGGGGCCGCTTGGATGATGGTAAGAGGAGGAAATATCGCCAGCAGAGTTGAATATGACCCGGCTTGAAAATGATCTTCTTGGATCGCTTGAGGGCGTCGTCGTCGTCCACACCCTCGTTAACGTCAGCAGCCCCGGCATCACCACCAGCGTCGGTGCCATCTTGATCTATTTCAGGAAGACCATCGCAATCAATGGACAGCTTGGAGAGCTGGCATTGCATAAACAAAAGGAGTGTTAAAATATGTTTTACACCCCATTGAAAATATTTGACAAACTGAATGGATATGGATAGATGGTACCTTTGTTCTAAGAGTCTCCGGTATTCTCCTGTAATGCAGTTTCTGATCTAGGCAGATCTTGGGTGCAAGTTCCGCGATGATATTACTCAAAGCCAGATCCGTTGAGTTGAGGGCTTTGAACCCTGGGCACAGCGTCTTCTTGAACTCGTTAAACGTCGAGATTGCTTCAGCGACAGCATCCTTGCTCTTGTCCGACGCGGGCGGACGTCCTTGGGGGACAATGGAATTCCTCAAGACGAAGGACAGTAGGTTTTGGACAAACCTTTCCGCCCAATCGGAATCCAGGATCTTCTCTAGGAAGCTCTCGTCCGGTCCATCCTCTGCCTGGTTCAGTCCAGTCTCGATCAGCGGCTGTAGAATGCGCATCTCGATAAGCTTGTACACAATGTGTTTGGCGCTATTGACGGTAGAGACTGCCGAACTCACGTGTTGGGTTAGCTGCGCAACCTCTGCTTTCGACAGATTGGTTGATCTTCCTAGGCAGCCTTGCAGGGATCCAGTCGTGAGCGTGACCGTTGCGAAAACAGACTGGAACGCTCTCTTCAAGGCCTTGGGTCCAGCTATTCCTTTAGGTTCGCCAAGGAGTTTTTTCTTTTTCTTCTTGGCAGCGGGGGCAGGCACTTGGTCGATACGGGGGGATTGCTCCTTGGGCTTTGAAGGACGGGGGGTCGACGGCTTCAATCCTGAAAGTTCCACGACATCAACAGGGCTGGCCTTTTCTAGGAAAACAGTGTCCGGCACATAGCGATCTTGCACGTCTGTGCGCGAGCGGAATCTATATGCGATTTTGCAATGAGTTGTGTTAAGGTGGAAATATATGTATATAGCTGGACAAGGCGGAGAAAAATACCAGGAGAAAAGACATACCTGGAACGACGCCACTTCTGTCGTCGCCGCTGGAGGGCACGTGAACCATGTCGGCGTTGTTTTTTAATCTTTTGCTTGTGCGATGGTGGATGTTCGGCTGGGCCATGCGTCTGCCTGATGGAAGGTGATCCCGCTGATGTAGCTTGCGGATATGGTGCTGATCCTGCCTTGGGTGCCGTTGGGAGTGGTGGTGGCGTTGCCTCTGCGTCTGTCGCCGCCCCCTGAGAAGCTGGATCTACTAGCAGCCCAGGCGGCAACGATCCCGTCCGACTCGCGGAAAAGCGACGCCAATCATTGTAGGCTTTGTTGAATTCTGTTTCCTTAATTATGGCCATCAGTCGTGTGTGTGTATCGGCCGCCGGGCTGATCCTGTTGTTGTCCAGAGTGGTTTCCTCGCAAAGCACGAATGTCTTGAGAGCATGGCCGAATTCTGTCACATCTACACGCAGCTGTCGATCGGCCGTTTCGATCCTCCTCAGATCCTTGTCGTGTGCCTTCACCGTTGGGTTAGGATTGCATCGCAGTCGACGACGTGCGCTTTGGGTGGCTGAGTCCTTGATTGTACGGGCCTTTTGGTGTATTATGTCAAGGTAGCGCCTAACATAGATCCGAACCACCTCCACTCGATCTTGGCCAACCGTTCCATCAAGACCTGTCATCTTGAACTGACGGATCGTATCGACATTGGATGTCAAGCCATAGGAAAAAACTCCGTTGGTGTAGTCGTTGTTCGATACCAGAGCGGCAAGCGTTAGATGTACAGGGGTCGGAAGGCCATGCTCGTTCAGAAGCTCATCTTTGTGGAAAGTAGTCCAAGTGTTCTTGACTGGCATGGTGACGGACATGATTGACTCGAATGCCATGAGATCGGAGTCCTTGGTGATAACTCGGATATCTCCGGGTACGGCAGCGTTGTTGACTGTCCGCGCAATGCACGTGTCGCTTTGGTTGAGACATTGGCAAATCGTCCATCCACTCTGACGCAGTACTTCCGAAACGGCGCGCAATGCCTCCGGTGGTGCTCGGTACGACGCCTTCAGGCGTTTGTATAGCTGTCTTTTGTTGTGCAGCTTGCCCTCCGTGTAATCTCGTTCAAGTGTTTCCAACTGCTTGGACAGCGCCTGATCTCGTTTGCCGTGCGCCCATTCCTTCTCCATTGATCGTAGACCATCCATATGGAGCATTGTGATGTCCTTAGACAATCGTGAGGAGAGAATCTTCTCAATTGCGGCTCCGACAGATCGAAAATCCTATTGGAAACAGCGAATTATTATTTTGGTCACAGCAATTTAGCTTTTCTCCAGATAGCATGAATCATTTAACTTTTTTCCAGATCAGTACAATCCATTTAGCTTTTCTCCAGATGGTATGATTTATGGTACTTACAATGACCTTTTCCTGGGCGCAGATTGTGGTCAGAACGCCGCTCTCGTCGAACCGAATCTGGGATGGCTGTGTTGCCAGCAATCGCTGCATGTCTTCAACGAGAGTCGACGACCCGGAGCTGATTTGGAGGGGTCGGAGGCGTTTGTTAGAGGAAGCAGTGTCGGCGGTGTCCGCATCGTCGACGTCGGCTGCTCGTTTTGGGCTGGATGAAGCCTGCCGTGTAGATGTTGTTGTGTGAGTAGACATGCCCGCGCCATCGACGTCGGCTGCTCGCTCTGGGCCGGATGAAGCCTGCTGTGTCGATGTTGTTGTGTGAGTAGATAATTGACATCGGGCGGACTTTGCAGCGAACTGCACTGTTTTATGGAAACTCAGCGAGTTCACCAACGCAAAAAACATCGACGCAAAATCTACTTCACATCTCTTCTTGGTTAGATCTTCCTCCACTCCGTCTGTCGCCTTGATCCACCCGGTGAGATTTGTGATGCCCATTGCTGTAATTCTAAGTAATTCACAATTGAAGGTTGATGGTTAGCGCGAGTCTGATTTCATAGATTCTCTCAATAGCACGGGTCGCAATCACTTTCAACATCGGCCTTACATAGGTCTGTTGAAGCTCAATTGAGAAGGGGGGCAGTTTAGGAGAAGGGGGAGAAGGGGGCAGTTTAAAAGAAAGGGACACGAGGCGATGCAGAACGGTGAAAAAGAAGCTGGTGGTCTTCATTCACTCAGCCTCAGCCGCTCACTCAGTCACCGTGAACGTCAGAGCTATGAGCTAGGGGTGAGCGAATTAAGGGTAGGATGGTTCTTTCTCACCAATCCCATGCATTTCAGCCTCAGTGGACAGACACTGAGATGCAACGCTATCGGCGCGGGCACAGGACCCTTTCTAAAACTCAGGGCGCGTATGATACTCCTAAATCATTCTTGGTGCAAAGAAGACCTTGCAGAGAGAGCAGATTCGCTGGGTGGGTTGAGGATATGCTTGTGTTATGCCTTCTCGTTTATTTTATCTGCACAGGATGCAGCCAGTCATGAGTAGTTCAGTAATTCATCGTTTGGTCCCTTGAATTTTTTCGAGACATAAGGGGATACTTAGGTAGGGGTGTCGCGACATTTGGCGGACACTATCAGATCCTTAGCCAGGAACTATCGGAACTCCCTTTGATGCATGGAAGAGCCGAAGAGTTTGTTGATAAGGTACGCATTGATGATTGTTGTATCCAGTAATCAGAAGAAGATCGGAGCCCATGCGCGATAAGTCCTGAGCTGAGTCGAATAGTAGCTGCATAACTGGTCGGCAATGTCGACTCCGTTCATGTGGTGGTTGTTGTCATCGATGATTTTGGGATGGGAAGTAACGCCATGGAACGTCCTTTATGAGCAGCCCGCACTGACTTTGCGCTGGCGCTTGTCTCTCGAGGGCGTCTGCGATCTTGGACAACGGATCAGTCGTTGTCGCCGAGGCTGAGGGCATGGACGGTGAAGAGTATGGAGACAGGTCTATTGTCCATCCAGAACACGGTAAGAACCTGAAGTGGGTCTGGCGATTGTCGCAGTTAGCTTTTATAGCCTAGCAGAGGGCAAGAGTGGTAACTCTCTTCGTTAAATAAAAGAAAAGGAAGCGAAGCACCTATCTATCACAGGCTCTACTTTTGAGAACCAATGTTGCTCAGGCTCGTTGGGGTTGGAGACATGAAAAAAACGCTTCAGTTGTTCGAAGCGGACGAGGGACATGAAGGTAGTGATGTTGTGTTGAGGACATTCAGGGAAGGTTGACCAATACTCAGAGACAGAGTTCTGCCTGAACACGCCCATGTAGACAATGATGCCGAGGAATGTGCGCAGTTCGTCAGGTGTGGTCTTTACCCACTGGCGCGATCCCTCTCCTGTGCCGGCTCCTTTTGATGCTGCATATGCGTTAGTGTTGTCTGCCAAATCCGTCAATACTGGGTCGGAGAAGATTTTCTTTGTCGGTGGAGCTGAAGCATCTATCACCCCTTCATCTCCTGCCTTCTCCTCCTCCTCGTCCCCAGAGCTATCTGTACCAGGCGTTGGTCGAGTACGACAACGGACCGAAAACAACAACTCCTCCTCCTCCTGTGCCTCGTCAACCTCCTCCGCAGATGCTACTACGGTGCCTTGAGAGTCAGAAACGTCAAAGGAACCGAGGAACTCGAGACTGGAGTCCATGAGTGAGTAGGGTGAAGTCGATGTGTGAGAAAAAAAAGGTAATGGGTTGCGGGATGATGATGAGAAAAAAAGAGCTGAATTCGAGAGTGATGAATGTAATGTGACGAAGACGACAAGGACACTCCCACGACGTAGTCTTCTAACCCGTTTTATTGGAAACCTGGATAAATCGAAAAAAATGTGGTGCAAATTTGCACCACAAACAAACTAGGGGATAACAGACTATGAAGCAAAATTTCTTTGTACTTCCGTTTTGGGTTCTTGTCTGAACATGAGACCACTTACACAGCCATGGCCAATTGCGTGGCTTAGAGCCGGACACTGTTACAAAAAGATGTGGTGGCTAGGCAGTGGCGGCGATGCCTTAGGTTAGCAGTCATATTCTTTAGTAGACATAGTATTAGTAGTGCGCCGAGCCCTCTTGTCTGCTCTTTGTCCTTTTACACATCACTTGGACGAGAGCAGTATTGACAAGAGTTTCGCTGGCACGCTGCAGTGTATCGTTTTGTGTGATTCTTTTAGGACGCTATTGTCACTTCCCCTCCCCCCCAACCTACAACCCCCTTCCCCCCTCCGTACCAATTGAGGACCTAACAGCGGTCCTACAACTCTGGCCGTCGACCCTCTCCCCTGAGTAACAACACGAGGAATTGGGCACATAGTCGCCAAAATACTCTTTTTTGTCTCATTACTGTGCCTGAAAAAACACATTTCACCACCAGCATGCCTGCCATCCTTCAATCACTTTCGTTTACAGCTTGTCCATCCTCACTCAAACCCCACCTATAATCTACACTCAGCAGAAACACATCAGCACCCAAACTCCTCTCTTCTCCAAGGTCTCCATCTGTTTTGTCCTCACTTCCATTCCTCAAAGTATGAATCACATAAATATGCACCTGTCCACTGCTGTTCTTTTCTCGATATTGTCTATTGACACTAGGCGCTATCTATCCGCGCTCTCTTCTTAAAACTCCCTCAACTACCACCTACCTTCCACCATGCTGCCCAATAGAGGACCCCGAACCCGCCGCTCGTACGCTACTGCTGTCGCCGAAGGTCCACTTCGTACCGAAACGAAAGTCAAACCGGAAAAGATGGTCGCTATTGATGAACCAAAAAGACGAGGACAGCGCCGAGGTCCTGCTGCTGCTGAAGCCACCACTCTCGGGACTAAACCCTCCACAGTAACAATCCAACCTACTACCAACACTCTTTCTGTCAAAGCTACAGCTCAGAGAGCCCCTGTCCCTGCGATCGCCATCAGAACGCGAACAAAGGCCACCAATACCACCACCCCCTCCGCCAATACGCCCACCACTACCAAGACCCCCAATGCCCCAAAGGCCAGTTCCACAATAACCAAGGGTCAAAAGAAGGTCCTTCGTAACAATCCTGGTGCCACTGGCTCTGCTTCCCCTCTTCCTCGAACCTCAAAGGCGGCGAATAAGAAAAGGCCAAAAGCGACGAGCAAGAAGTCAGTGGACTCTGCAGACACAGATGATTCGGACCCTGACACTGTCAAGAAGCCGGCCAAGAAGAAAGTATAGCGGTACCACGGGCCGAATGGATCTACAGTCCGTCGACTTCCAATGCACCAGAAGGACCAGAGCCGGGCCTATCCAACGATCCCTCCTGGAATGACAGAAGAAGAGTATTCACAGGCCATCAAATCCTCATCCAACAAGGTCCTCTATGACCTTCTGGCGCGGAAGGATAGTGATATCCAGGAGTTGACCGTCAGGCAACATAAAGTGAAGCTCTTTACCTGGCAGGTTGGTACTTCATTGCGTTTGTATTTTGCCATTTGTAGTGAGATATGCCTTAATTTTTATGCATCAATTTCTAATACTCTTGTTCCTTTTTTTCACTGATTCAAGTTCTACTGCGATATACATTATGACGGCGACTACACAGTGAATGCTGAGCGCATGCTGCCGTACTTTGAGAACCTGGTCTTCCTCCGAACATCCAAGAAGTTTATCGTCCCTGATATTGGCTACGACGGCGCCATTGGCCTCAGGCCTGCGGGATGGAAGCCGCCAAATCCTAAACAACGACGAACAGCTAAAAAAACCAAGGATATTGAAGAGTGGATACCAGAGTCGTCTTCCAAGGAGCAGGACTTACAGGTGTGGACCCCTGATGATGCTGACGCAGCGATAGCCCGATCAGAGGAGCTGGAGTATGAGGAGCACGAGGATGAGGATGAGATAGTTGCTGTTGCAGTGGATGAGGTTGTAGATGTCGGCATGGAAATCGTCGTAGGCAATAACCGAGAGGATGATAACAACTCAGTCGAAATCACTGTCCAAGAAGAACTACAAGCACTGCATGCAATGGTGGAAGGTGAGGATGAGACTGGCCTTGTTTTGGAAGGTGAGGACTTTGAGTCTGGAGACCAACAGGGGCTGGAGCATGCCACTGGAACAGAAGCTCCTGCAGAACCCCTCATAATCGAGACTGAGGCAGACAAGATGAAAGGTATGTATAATTTTCGGTCTCAATCGATGTTATTAGGGAGATAATGACACTGATATTTGTTTGACCTTTCAATTATTACTAGTCTTTTCTGGTCTTGCACCTGATAAACATGGTCGTATTGCGATCATGGTACCTTTGTCTCTGGGAACTGTTGATAACTACCGCAAAGCTTGTATTTATCTCTGGAAGCTTCAAAACCAAAGGACCACCTTGTGCCCAAATCCTGCGCCTAACCCACGTACCGATGGGCCTTTGGATGATGCCATCAACGCCTATGGCGTTCGTCTCGTCTATGACAAGGCTACAACTGGAACAACAAGGAACACACCTTGTGACACACGCGACACATATGACGGTAATGACAACTAAACACTATGAAAGCATGTCCTACCTTTTCACAGCAATCTGACATATCTCCCTTCTTTTTATAAGGCAACAAGCTGGTACGTATGGCAACATTATTATTATTATTATTTTTTGATTTTCTAAGGTTTTATTTGTGGCTTGTTGCCGTATGGTTGAAGATGTAGACGTTTTGCGCTATGGCTTTCTTAATTTCTATGGAAATACAGTCAGAGATTTCCTCCGATGACTGTGTGTGTTTGTGGAGGAAGAGGATGGTGTTTGCTGTGTTTATACCTATAAGGCAGCACGCCAGCAATTGTGGAGGGGTGATGTGTATTTGGGCTTAATGGAACAGATGGGGGGTTTAAAGGAGAGCAAAGTATGGAGATCTTCATCGGACCATGTGGGCTTGTCCGTGTATTCTCGCAAAATGAACTGCCATGCTAGGTACTTGCCCTTGCATCCGAAGACATGGTGGTTTTTGTCAGCCTTTCTTTCCCTGCATCCCTGAGCGTCACAATGGGCGTCCTGTTTCCACCTGTGGGCCCGAAGCGTGCCACATGGGATAATGTCACGCTTGTATCGCCACCAGAAAGAACGGGCTCTATGTGGAATCTTGGTTTTCCAGAACTTGCGCCATTGGGACTTGGTGCCGGATTCAGGGTGCATCGTCGAGGGGGTCGGGGGAGGTTCGGGTTCGGGAGTCGGGGACAGGTACTGTCGGATCTGTCTGGTGGAGGCAGTCCCTAAAGTTACCTTTGTCTTGCCGTTGTCGAGGAGGATGAGTGAGCGTATTCTCTGAGCCAGGCGATCTCCGACGACTCCAGCATGCGGTGTCTGTATCGCGTCCAGGTATGCTTGTGACATCCGCCGAGTATTAGTTCCTGCAAGTTGTGTAATGAGGTCGTCTCTTATACACTTCGATTTCCGGGAGAGTCGGCGCTTGTATGCCGCCTTGAACTTGTTATTCCTGTCTATCTCCAACTCGAACAGGTCTCCAATCCGTGCGGTGAGAGTGGTGTTGTCATTATCCATCGAAAGGAACCACCATTCCAGCGGGCTTTCCAGAAAAGTGGTCGAATCTGGAAGTCCTGCCTGCATGGTGGGTGTCTTGATCGGGGGGAGTGTGCTGGCCGCCTTGACTAGCTGCAGGAGGTGGGGGAAGTGTTTGAGTTGTTGGTGGAGTCTGTTCTCCTGAGGGTCCAACATGAAGGATAGGCGGTGGATGTCCCTTGTCTTCCAGAGGATAAGATCCAGTACAATGTCCTTCCCCCAGGAGACTGTCGTAGTCGTGGCGTTGCGAAGGTGCTTGATGAGAAAAGCCTGTTGTTGCTTCGCCGGATCTATGACCCCAAGGCCGCCGTTGTGTCTAGGGGTGGCGATGACCTTCCATGATGCTGATGGTTTGAAGGGGAAACAAATCGCGTAATGCAATCAAGAAAAAGAACTCAATGCAAGACTAGCCACAAGCGACCTAAAAGTGTTGGACCTTTCGTCGATCACGACTCAAACAAAGAAAACGTCCCGTCTATGATAACTCGATCAGAAAACTATATACTTGGCGCATTGTGATTGATCTTTCACTCTCCGCAAATAAAGTTTGTTCAGCCACAATAGCCACAACGACCACAAGACTAGCCATCGTATTTCGATGTACGTCGGACATGCAAATCATGCCTGCTGATGGGGGCTAACCTGGACAAATAAGTTTATTTCATCCACCGTTTCTTTCCCCAACGTCACTGGGGGTACCATACAACAATGGTCAAATCGTCATGCTTGAGAGAAACAATGAGCATTTGTCGATCATTCGCTAATCGCTCCTTCCCAGAGACGGAGACATTTAGGGGTTTCAAACCTTGACATTTCACGGCGTATTTCGAAATCAGTCGGCGTGAAATCAGAGCGTATTTGAGAAATAAATCGGCCAGACAAACACGCAAGCGAGGAGGCTGATGTGTTTCGAAATACGCCGACGATTCGTCTGAAATCCGCCATCCTCCATCTTTTTTGCTATTTTGCATTTTTATTTTTTCATTTTTACAACAACCTCCTTTCCTCTCTTTACCTTCTTTTATGCCATTCGTGTCGGAACGCAAACAACTTTTGGGAGACTTAGAACTCCTCATTCTTCTCGCCAATTATAATGACGACGACGAGCAAGAAGAAGAACTTCTTGAGCTGTATGCTCACGTTCTAGGTTCGCGGTTTTTGGGCGAGCGTCAGGTCGTAAAACGACCACCCCATTACTTTCTAGAGAGATTTCCAAAACTCCCTGATGGCGAGTTTCGGTCGATGTTCAGGACGTCCAAAGCAGGGTTCTTCGCTCTCCTCGAGAGGATACAAGACCATGCCGTATTCTCCAACAACTCAACATGCCCTCAGACACATCCTGCATGGCAACTCGCGGTCGCCCTTACTCGGCTCGGCGTACATGGAACAGGAGCAAGCGTTAGCAAGATGCAAGCAATATTTGGCGTTGGTACCGGAACAGTGACGATATTTACCAACCGCGTTGTACAGGCCCTATGGGATGTCCATAGCGAGTGGCTCGTATGGCCCGACGTCGAGAGGAGGAGGAATATTAGGCAGGTTATGAGCAAGGAGGGCTTCCCGAATTGTGTTGGATTCATTGATGGGACTACGATCCCTCTCTCTCAAAAGCCTGCCATTGATGGCGAGGTTTATTTCGATCGGAAAAAAAGGTACTTCGTCCACAGACTCTACCTCGTCGTACACATTTTTTTTGCATGCTGTCTAATGGTATCAAGGAGTAATGTGGTCAGTCTCTCACGTCTCTCACTCCCTTTTCCTTGGTAGATACTCTGTTGCAATGCAAGTGATTTGCGATGTGGACAAGCGTATTATTGGAGTAAACATCGGCTACCCAGGGTCTTGCGCCGACTCGTTTGTTTACAAGCGAATGGATCACTACAAGAAGTCCCACTGCTACTTCTCACCTGGCGAGTATCTCCTTGCCGACTCCGCATATGGCCTATCGAATACCTGCATCCCCTCCTATAAAGCCCCAGCAGCAAACAGGAAAGACAACAAGGAATTTAACTATTGTATCGCCAAGTCCCGGGTCAGGAACGAGCACTGCATCGAGATCCTCAAGTCGCGTTGGGGTTCACTGCAGGAAATGAAGCATCAGCTCCGATCTCCTGAGGATATGCAGTTATTGATCAGATGGGTAGTCGCCTGCTGTGTTCTCCACAATATGCTTGCCCGCCTTGGTGATGCCTGGCATGACATGTACCTTGAGGATGACTCCGATGACGAGGCAGAGGTGGCACTCAGTGGTGCAGTTCAACCAGATAGCGCTGTGTCCAATTTCAGAGAAGCTTTGAAAAAAGTCACTCTGGAGACAAACTACGTACGTGGGATACTACCGATGCAAGATTAAACTACGTCTTATTGTTGATAGTTTCATCGGGGAATAACGGTTTTGAGCATGGCTTGGATCTGCTCTACAGACACGCCTTTCTCCAGTCCTGCCTGGATCACCTGCAATGTCTGTACGGTAACTCTTGTCTCCATCTCTGACTTCCATCGCTTGGACTCTTGGTCGATTTTTTGCTGCTCCAGTTCCAATTTTCGTGACTCCCGCTCCATTTTTTGTTCCTCCAGTTCCAACTTCCTTGACTCTCGCTGCTCCTCCAGGTCCAATTTCCGTGACTCTCGGCTCTTCTCCCACTCGAGTTTGTTCTCTTCCAATTCAAGCCTTTTGGTTTCTATGACCTCAGAGACTAATACAAACAGTTAGAATTTGGTGGAGACTGAAGGAAAACCACATCTAATTAACGAACAAAGTCTTACCATTGGCTTTCTTGGTAGTGGCCTGTTCGAACGAGGAAAGGAATGATCGCCTTGAAACCTCGGGAGAAGAGGGCGGGTCCAGCGTTGGTTGCTTTTTACGTCGGTCTGTTGTGCGAGTGCGTTTGTTGGACGCTTGTGACTCTGTATCCGTATGAGGTCGTTTTTGATGGCGCCGCAGGACTTGTGTCGATGAAATGGAGAGCACGCTTATGTCATCGCCCTCAAGAACGCTGTCGATGTTGTTCCGGTCGTCTTCGAGGTTTGTTGTCTCAGCAGTGTCGAGTCCCGTATCAAAATTGTTGAGGTTGTAATCAATATCGTTAAAGCTGTCGTCAAAGGTATTGTTGAAGGGATCAGGGTTGTCGATATTATCCTGGGTCTGGGTGTAATTGCCGAATGGTTCGCCGCCAACATCCTTTACAAGATCTCGAGGTTCGTCATCGTCCCCACCCTCATCCTCATCCTCATCCTCATCCTCATCCTCCAGCAAACGACGCCGACGCCGAGGACCCGTGGTGGGTTGCTGGCTACTATCCTGCTCCTGAGCAACTGGGATGACCGAGGAAAAAATGCCAAGTGGAGTGACATTAGGCCGACTGCCAAAGAGTGCGTCCATCCTATCATAACAGGTGCATATACTCTCCAGCTTGTGACCAATTGTATAGATCCCCTTCTGTTGGTCCTCGTCCGTGACACCGAAGCCAGTCTCTTGCGACTTCTCCTTGACGGTGGCGAAGGTCTTCCGATGACGGGCGAGTCGCTCACGCATTGACTTTGCATTCAAGTTAAGCCTGCCCTTGCTCTGTCTGGACACGACTTGAGCCAAGGTGGTATATCCTTGATTTGATGGTTTGTTGGGTTTGCCGATGGTTGTTTGGCCTCCGCTGCCGAAAACCGACACGAAGTTGGGAGGGTGTTCCAGAAACGTCAAAATAGTTTCAATGTCCTGCTTTGTGAATCGCTCCTTCGAAGATTGTCCGGTCGCCTTGTTCGATTGTGGAGCAGGGGTACTGGATGTACTTTCGCCTGTAGGGAGTGATGAAGGTCCTTGAGACGGAGCGCTGGATGCCGATGTCTCAGTGTCCGTGATGTGGGTACTCGTGGCGTTGGAGTTCATTATGGTTGCTGTTGAGCTGAGGAAGAACTGTTGAAGGCGAATAAACCCCCCCCCCCCTTTAAAACGATGACCTTTATTTTTTTGTTTTTTCATGTTGTTTACCTCGCAAAATACGCCGTGGGAGCATCTGAAAATGCGCCAGTTTGTCTGGCGTATTTCATAAGATTTGAAGAGGTATTTGACTGTGACGTATAACCAAATAGTCGTTTATTTGGTTTGACAAATGTCAAGGTTTGAAACCCCCTATTGCATCCCGGGTTTGGACCATTTAATGACCCGGTTTTGACCAATTAATTAAGGTTTTACCGCAATTTGTGACTTGTTTTTTCATCCCGACCCGGTTTCTTCCCGTAAATCGTTCCGCCCTTGATTCTTTTTGTCTCTCCAAACACCCTATTCTTTCTCACTCGCCCACACACCTTCTCACATCCTATTATGCCATCCAAAAAAGACGACCTTACCTCCGAGCTCATCTGGAAAACACACACAGAGTACAAAGACTCCTCTCTTCTCTACTTACCACGTATTCAAAAATTCCTCCGTGGTTACTCTATACCATTCAACACTTGCATCGCCATCATCGACATCCTCATCAAAGATTCGAAAAGGTCTTCAGCCATTGCTAAATTAAATCGCTTCTTCCCCAAAGACAATTCAATAATCCCTTCACTGCACTCCCCTGAAGGCGCCCTAAAAAGACAAAAACTTTCACATCCTTCACCCAACCTGCAACTATCCCACTCCGCCATTATCCTACCTGCAGATGACATAGAGTCACTCGATATACCTTTGAGACCTCAAAAGATTTTCGTCAGGCATCACTCTGTATCATCCTTGAGGAGATATACTCCTCCTTTCGCCAACAGCGCTCTTATCACTCACCAAGAAATTACCCCCACCAGACAGTCTCCGAGATAATCAACCTCTTTAGCACAGGCCGTGTTCACGAGGCTGCTTGCAAGTTGCAATTCTTCTCCAATCACGACGCTTTTCACATCATTGCACAAGGCGTCAACTCACTGCTCTTTGTCCGCCACCACAACACCGCCTCCACAATATATGCTTCCAAACTCGCCTTGGACTGTCTCTACGCCTTAGACATCCCATCCCACATATACCCAATGCCTGCGCTATACCCATCTCTACGCCGTGATTTACTGGCCCCAACGGTGCGTTGCCCTGATTCGCATTCGCATTACATGTGGACACCTGCCCACTACCAGCCAGGGAGGCCTTTCACGTCCAAATTATCATATGGTGTTTGTTACATCTCTGTAGATCTCGACGATATCCATAGCGACTATGAGATGAGAATGTATATATGATACCAAGCATGTAAGACAACCATTGTGACATTTTTTGTTTGACTATCCTACTAAACACCATGATATTCTTCAAACAACAAAGTCTTCTTATTTTTTGCACACCAATCTCTTGAATGTCTCCATCTACTATTAAACTGTACCCATCACTGCGAGATTAAGGGGAGTAGTTCTTGTATGTGATCATCTAAAGCACCTATACTCTCAACTGTATCCTTGTCGTGAAATACAAGGGAGAGATTACATTTTAAAAAATCTTGTGCTGTCTATTGCTATTTTATTCCGTGTTCTGTTGCCCACTATAAAGAGATATGTCAGCTATGGAAGTCAACACTCCGTTCCTTGGGCTTTGGATATTTTTTATATGCCTTTTTATATCCTCTGCAGATGAAGGGGCCGCCAGGTAATTCTCTCGATGATTTTTACACAACTCATAACGAGAATACATGTTAAAGATAATGACACTGACCACACCTCCAGAATTTACAAATGTTTGGTTCTCTCGTGCTTTCGAGGCATATCATATCCAGCCCCGGGTCAGTCACAATATTCTGCTTCAGAGTCGCAATGCACTCGGCGCCCTACTCTGCTACGATTCGATGGGAAAAGTTCACCCGCCACCAGTGAATAAAAAAACATTCCCCTCAAGGGCCTCACTTCTTACGTCAGGTATGGCATTACACGAGACATTTCAAAAAACCTCGCTTAGTTCTCCATCACTGGCAATCACCGTCAAATCTTACAGCCTACCTTCATCGTCTTGAATTTAGAAATATGATGGCTCCTGTCTTTCAGTTGCTCTCTGCAACTTTGTCATCAATAATGATTCCAGTGGAGCTCTTGGTTCCTATCTAAAAAAGACCTACACCATCGACACTGAAAAGGTAACCATGGCACGCACGTCTTCTACAAAAACTGCGACTCTGATGGTCACTTTACTAAATATGCAACATGTGAATCTGATTTCAAACTAGAAATGCCATTTCGTGGACGAGGACCCATACATATTGTCACTCCACAACTTTTCCTTCCTCTCCTCCCCTTCATCCGAAAAAACAGGTGGCGGAGACTGGTCCCAGAATCACATCATCCTCCTCCTCCCATACAAAAATTCTTTTTGGGAACTAGACGGTCAATCTGAGGACGGACTTCGATACATTGGTCCTTGTCACAACAGGCATTGGCCAAGATTAGCTAAAGAGCGTGCCGATCAATGGAATGAGCAGAACGAAGCTATCAACTCTATAGATATTCATGTCATAGTGAGTTCACTGTCAAGCTCCCTAAATAGCTAAAACCATAATCTTAAGGTCAGGTACACTCATTTGACCTCCCCTCTCCTTTCGATAGACTTTTCCTATCTATGTATTATTTTCCCACATCTGTTGTCATCGCATTATGCCAGTCACATATACAGTTCATAATCGCAATTAGACCACACATGAAGCAGATAAATATCTCATTCTTCTTCGCATTTATTTATTCTAAGGATGGGTGTACAGTCGAAAGTGGTTTTTATGATCATTTTGATAGTGAAATTGATCAGAAAAAGTAATTGGAACATTTGAATTGACCTCCACAAAAACACTACTGTAAAGCGGCGAAAGTATATAGCGCACGTGACGGTCACGCAGTCACACCCCATCTTTGGAGAAAAACGAATAGAGAGAAAAAAAGAATCACTGTTGCTTGGCGGCATCCGTCTGCAACTCCTCGTCTCTCAGGGCTACGCAAGCATGCACCAACTGCTTCACCATCTTTCCTACGCTCTGCGCTTTTCCCGACCCTCCTTGTGCACTCTGTCGGACATGCTTGAGACCATCGACGGTGAGAAAATCGCTATTCCCCGCTAGGTGCTTCAGCGTATGAGCGGCCGTATCGAGATCAGTGTCTGCAAGCGGCGAGCTTTCAGATCCGTCGTGATTTGTGGAACCACTTCCACCTCTGTGAGTGTTGCCTTGTCCCTTTCCATTTGCGTCGCCCTGGTGTGGCTCCTCCTCAAACAACTCGCCCTTGTCCTCCACCGTCCTGAAAGATAAGACGTTGCCCTGCCGAACCTCAGCGATGAGATGTTCGAAATATGCCCGCTCCCTCTCTGCATATTGTTCGTAATGAGTGCTCTGGAGCCTTTCCGGCTGTTCGCCTCTGGTTGCCTGTCGTCGTTGTAGTTCCTCGCGCATTGCTGTTGGAAGGACGGGGGTTTTGGCGAAGCAGTTACGTAGCATGGAGGGCTTGGTTTGACTCCACGCGTGTGGAATCAATGTCCATGCGCGCCCATTAGAGATACTTCTCGTTCTATCGAAGGTTCGAGCGTAATATGTCTCGAAGCCAAGCATATCCAAGAAGGCCCTTTTGAATGCACTGATGACCCCGGCGTCTAGAGGTTGAGTAACAGATGTTGAGTGTGCAGGAAGCCGCTGTATGCGAAGATGTTTCCACTGAACCCCTTGTTTAGCATCGCGCATATCGACGTTGTTGTGTGATCCGGCAGAATCCAGAAGAAGAAGAGTCGGTTGTGAAAGCTCGTCATCCAACAGTTGTAGCCACCGTACAAAGACTTCGCGGGTCATCCATCCTGAGCTCGTTCTTTCTACGACCATCTCCGCGGTTGCCTCGTTGCTAATACCACTTGTGAAGTGTTCAGCTAAGGAAAGTCAAGCAGCCGTAAGGTTAGCATATCGAGCAGAAAATAGAAAACAAAACAGATCGACTTTGTTAAGTATTACCGAGAATCAAAGGTTTCAATGCACGCATTGTCTTGGCCTTAGTGAGGGATGTGCCTGAGGCGTTAATACAAAACAAAATGGACACTCTGCACTCCCTGAAAGCTTTGGCACCAGACCTAGAAAGCGGTGTGGTGTAAGACTTGGTGTCCAACTCCTTCAGGTACATTCCGGTCTCGTCGCAGTTGAAAATGTTGTCGGGAGTGTACTGAGCGCAAAGCTGGCGGATCTTGACGAGCTGGGGTTCGATCGCATCCAAATCCACTGATCCAGCCTCCCCATGAAGCTGATAATACGACAAAGCATTCCGTTTCTTGAGCGAGTCAAACCAGTAGGCCGAAAATGATAGAGGTGCCTCGGAAACCGTACCTCCCGATTCATCCTCCAGGTCGCAAAGAACCATACATGCGGTACGTCCAGCCTCCTTCAGCATTTTTCCATGCACAGGAACGTTCGACTGTCGTCGATCTTGTAACCAGTGAAGGAGGACCTGCTCGACCAGCAGGTGCTTGCGGCTGACGATGTAATGAGCGCCAGGATGGGACGACTTCGCTGCAGTGCGTATCTTTAGTTCCCGCTTGAGCATCGCATGAAGGGTAGGCTGTTTAAGGTCGACTCCTATCGCCGGTCCAAAGGAATGCTGTGAAAACTTGAACGGGAAGTTCTCCTTCCGATTGTCGAGATAGTGATAAATGTCCAACAGTTCGACTTGGGTTTCCAGGGTGTGGGAGACTCTTGTCATCGGGACCTCATACTCGCCGGCGGTAGGAAACGTATGGAGAGCGCTCATATCATTTACTCCTGGCACTTGTCAAAAGGTCAAGGTACCGGAGATGGCGAATAGTCTGTATTTCATCAAGCTGTTTTTTTGTGAATGTTTTTTCCTTCTTGGATACCAGCATAGTAGGAACAGGTTTATGTTTCTTAACTCGCACCTTCGCCTTCTCCGCAAAGTACTGGGGTCTTTTGTTGGAGTTGTTTGTTGACATGACGTTGAGGAGTGGGTTAATGAACGTATGCATGCTGGAATTGTTCTCTATTCGTTTTTCTCCAAAGATGGGGTGTGACTGCGTGACCGTCACGTGCGCTATATACTTTCGCCGCTTTACAGTAGTGTTTTTGTGGAGGTCAATTCAAATGTTCCAATTACTTTTTCTGATCAATTTCACTATCAAAATGATCATAAAAACCACTTTCGACTGTACTAAATTTTCTTGCACTCAGGACACCTTCCTAATTAGGTAGAACTCGTCCCAAAAAGGAAGGAGCGCAGCACATGCGATACGAACAAATACTTTACGCTCCTCGCCAACTTCACACCCCTCTCACCCCTCTCCTCCCTCTCCTCCTTCTCTTCCCTCTCTTCCTCCTCCTTCTATCCTCATAGTGGTTAACACCAACCCTTGCTACTATTATCGCTCATCTCTAAAACATAAAATAAAAGACATTTTCATCACCAGTCTGATTCATACCCAATTACCCTCTTCATCTTACTCTCAGGGTGAGAGGAAGATGAAGATGAAGAAAGGAGCGACTGTGGTTCGTGGGTGTTGAGTATGTCGTAGAGACAGGTGGCGTTCTCAATGGCTTGTTCCAGAGTGGATGGACGTGAAAGTCTTACCTTCTTCGACAGTTCCCGTTCCAAACCTGCAGTGAGCATGTATGAGGCTTGGTCTGGATCGAGTGAAGGAAGAAGTCGAAGTAAGTCGTCGAAAGCAGTGATGTAATCGAGGACTGGTCTGGAACCTTGTCGGAGAGACGAAAGCCGTCGTCGAGCTGCGTTGATAGAATCAGGTGGGGTGTACTGTTTGAGAAACATTGCTTTGAAGTTGATCCATGAGGTGGTGTCCACATGATGTTTAGTGGATCGCCACCATCCTCGCGCCTCTCCCAAGTATCCAACAGCGTAGGGTACCCATTTTTGAGCGGGCAACTCAACGATGGTGAAGTATTCCTCAAGCCCTTCAATTAAGTTCAAGGAGGAGAGTGCATCAACTTTTCCATTGTAACAGGTTGGTTTGAGAGGTTTGTGGGGGATGGGGGCAGGTGTTTCGAGTTGAGCCAATGAAGAGGTTATGGCCGCATTAAGGATTGTGCGGTCAGCATCTCTCATAGCCAAGGTCGTAGCGGTGTTCAAAAGAGATTGAGAAAGGTTTGACATAATGAAAATGTGAATAGGAAAACGAAAGGAGTGATTGTAACAGGATTGTAGATTGCCTCCTGTTTTTGGCTGCCTTGTTCCTTACTTCCTTGTTAATATCTTGTGTGTCTGTCTTACATACTACCCCTGCTTATTATTACCTCGTCATTATCCCTCACATCATAGACTTATAAATACCCTGTCCCTTTTGTACAATAAACCTCATTCCTTCTTGCCCTTCCCTCTTGTCCCTACACCCTCTTGTCTCTTTCCCTTGCTATTCTCCTTGCCTCTTGTCTTCCTTCCTTGTCCTTACCCTTGCCTCTTCTCTCTTGCTCTGCTCCTATTTCAGTGATACTATGAAAGAAGAAAAAAAAATGGTGGAAAGACAAAGGGTCGGGTGAACAAGTGGTCGAGTGAGGAAGTGATCGAGTGAACAAGTGGTCGAGTGAACAAGTGGTCAAGTGAACAAGTGGTCGAGTGAACAAGTGGTCAAGGGAACTATGAATCAAATGGGCGATGGTTGATGATTGAGAAAAATTCAAGAAAGCATCAGGAGTGTATTTTCGGCCTTTGCTACCAATATTACCAAGGAAAATGTTTGGCGCGAAAGCAAGGAAGAGAAGCTGCTGCTAGGCTAAGTAGGAAAAGAAATGAAATAGAGTACTAACACAGGACCCCGAAATCCGGTGATGTTGAGCCTGGCCTCAGGTGGTTGACGAGTGGTCAGGTGCGTCCACTGGGCCAAAGTAGACATTCCAGCTGGATTATCTCCTTCTTCAGCGCATGCTTATCATAGGTACGCCTTGATAACGAAAAGTCAATGAATCGGACTTGGAATCCACCATCACAGCGGCGAACAAGGATATTGTGGGGCCGAATGTCGTTATGGACGATCCCATGCTGGTGAATCAGCGACAAATGGTCGACGATCTTCAAGCGCTCCTCATGGCTCAGCGTGTCTACCTCCATGGGAGATCCCACAATCTCCATCGCGACGACAAATATGCCTCCATCATATCCTGCAGTCTTGATATGGGGAATGCAGACACCTTGAAGGACTTTAAGTGCCTCGTACACGGCCACCTCCGTGAGCATCTCGTCTTCATACTCCGGATTTTTGTACAAATCGCATGTCTTCAACGCCACTTGTTCGTCCCCCCACATTGCGCGAAAAACACGTCCATTTCGACCCTCTCCAAGAACCTCTTGGATCTCAAATTCATGCAGGTATAGCTTCCCAACTGTCACGGTCAGTCCATTTGGAAGCTGTCGGACTATGCTCTGTCCTCGGAAGATCTGCTGAATCTTGCTCCTGCTCCTTGTAATGATACTGGAGTGCCGCTGACCTTGCTTTCCGGCATGCTGCTTTCGTCCCTGGTACCCACCGTCGTTCGAGGCACCGCCACCGCCATTGTCACCGTCGTCGTCATCATCAGGGTCTGGCGGGGGGGACGGTGGAGCAGGCGGAGTGGTATGATCTTGGCCGGCAAACCCAATGAGATACATGTAGCACTGTAGCAATGTTGGGGTGATGTTGTCGTGATAAATCGTGGGCGATATCCATATTCTCCCCGCATCTGTCCTCATAAACCAGGTCTGGTGGTAGGTAGTGAGGACGCCATACCGCAGGTTGTTGTGAGAAAGATAGCCGAATATCTGGTGGACCTGGCGCCACGTGGGGTTTGCTGGTGTTTCATTCCTGGCGACAAGATCCATGTCTTCCCTGTACTTTGCTACGAGATCGTCACAGGCCAAGGCCCTATTCGTCTTGATCTCAATGAGTACTCGTGCATCTCTTGGAGGTTGATAGTAAACGCGGTCCGGCCTTCCTACCACCTCGGCCTCGGGGTGCATTCCAATCCGACCAACGGACAGTAGACGGTTCAGGACTTCATAGACATTGGCATCCAAGGCGGAGCTGACAGACTCTTCATTCGAGAGGAGAAGGTGAGGATTAAAACGGACGTCATCAGGCCTGAATCTCCGACTGGCAGGATGATTAAGAGAAGTTGCCCGCGTTAGAAATTGCGTCCATTCTAAAGCTTCAGTTGGTGTTCGGCTAAATGTAGAGTGCGTAGCAGTCGTCGACTCTGACATGTACGGAGAGTACCGCAGGGCAGGCAGCATCCGATTCAACACATCGGACATGCTAAGTACTGTGAAAGGAATAAATATGGCCAAATGTGAGAATGGTGAACGTTCATGTCTGTGTTTCGGTGGATGGTAGATGATAGTGAATATTTCGCGAGAGTCACAGCGATTGGATGGGCTGAAGGAACGAGCTGGTCCTGTTCGGGCTAGGCATGCATTGCAGAGCGCTCCTTGTATTACTGGGGCAGAAGTACTATTTGTCATTACTGTCCTGGTTATTGTAACGGGCTAAGAGCGGAGGTCTTACATGGTGCAGCTGCGCTAGTAGATGAGGTATCGGCTGAAAAAGACGGAAAGTTAAGGTTAGAATATTGTACACACACCACACAGGAGCTGGTAGGAGATCAATCAGTATACGTGAGTGCATTACCTTGAGGAGGTCGCTGGACGATGATGTAGGTGTTGTCGTCGGGACTCGCGGCAAACAGCGTGGAAAGGAGTGCTCTAGGGTTGTTTAGCTCCGTCTTGTCGTGAATGGTACCGTCGTCATGAATGGAGACACGGCTGAGGGAGAGCTGGTCCCCTGTGATGTCGTTGAACGCAGGTGATTGTTTCGCCCTGATAAGGTCCTTGAGGTGAGCAATGGTACGTCTCTCAGAGACCTCGATCTCGAATGCCCTGGACGAGGGCAGTCCATCAACAAGACAGAACAGGATCAGGTTCTGAGAGTTGTCGGCCATGGCTCTGTGAAGTATCTGTGAAAATGAAGTGAAGAAGGCTGGAAGGTAAAGGATATGGAGAAGTCGGGGGTGAAAGAGAACAAGGCGAAAGGATGAAAGTGTGTAGTAAAAAGGGAAGAAAGAAGAAAGGCTAGGGATTAAAAGGGCGTGGGGACGGTGGCAAATGCGATGAAGGTGTGGAAATAGTGGCAATAAGGGAAACTGACAGTAAAGTCGAACAGAGGAAAAAGGAGGGGGAGTGACACGGGGAAGGTGTCCCAGCAACGAGATGAGGGAAGAGTGAGGAAAGGAATCGAGCGATGGTAAAGGCGGTGAAGAAAGCGCGTGGTGGAAAGGTAAGGGCGTTGGAAGTGCGGGAATGGTGGCAGAAAGGAAGAAAGGCAACAAATGGTGACTTTGGGGAGCAGGGCGTGCGAATTACGTCACCGAAGAGAGTAAATCTTTTTACATTACTTTTGCTCAATTTTTTTAACCCGTCGATGTTTAGATGAGTAGAGGAGACATATCTGGAGGGTAGTCAAAATGACAAGCGTAGTATTTGCGAAAATTGAGACTTCTCCTTAAATGGAAGAGGGGAGAGGGGACCGTGCCAGAGTACTATGTTTGCTTCGTTTGATTCTTTTTTTGCTACTCCCACACTCCCATTCCTATCTCGAAAGGCTTATGCAAGTCGTTAAGGGCCGAGTGTACGATGTTTGCCATGAGTGGATACTAAAGATAAACTGAAAAAAGAGTATTATCATTAGGACAAAATGATTGGAGATTTGAGCGTAGGATTCGTACAATGTTTAGTACTTGCGATCTTTGAACTGAAACAGAACGATTGGCTGAGAATGCTCCATGAGCCCAGTATTTCCCATCTTTGCCATTTTGACCACCCCCCTGAGCACGACGACTCCAGCTAAACAAGTTCCACGACCATCGATGTGCATCTCGGCTGGCTCCAGATGTTCCGCTTGCTAAATATATACGATATGCAACATTTTACAAGCCCCTCCTTTCTTTCCTTTCTTCGCAACACCATAGTCAACAATCGTCTGATCCTTTTCTGTCTTGTTGATGGAGGAAGTAATATCTCAAGCCATCTCTGTCGAAATCGAGCAGGCGAAGGTAGTGGATAATCTCAAGAGGCTTATCAATTCCTGAATTCGACGACTTTGCTCCAGATAAGCTCACCCTCTGGTGCTTCTCCATCCAAGTTGTCTCGGCCAACAAGCACAAGCCGATCGCCTTGATCGAGATTGATTCCCCGACCGAGCTCGACCTGACCGAGCTTGACCTGACCGAGCTTGACCCAACCGGACGACCTCTCTGATGTCTTTTCGGGCCAACCACCAAAAAAAACAATTGTCATCGTCGTTCAGCGACCCCCTCCAGGTAATGCAGACACGCGCTGCTCTCATTCACACGTCGCACATGCGCTCTGTCCATTGTGCCTGCGCTAACCCATCGCACTCATTTAATTGCACTTACACAGTCCGTACACCTGTCCCTGCCCGCGTCTCCACTCCTCGCTCTGGCCACCTCTCGGATGAATCACGTCCAGGTACACCGCCTATCGGTAAGTGCATCGTGTGTTACCCATCTTTTTATTGTACTATACCTTCGTCTCATTGTAAACTCACGATCAAGCTCTCTTCATGTCTTTAATCGGGATCAGGAACAGAGCACGCCAAATCTCTCAGCAGCCACACCACACCTGGCGTGCGAGGTCTGCCAGAGGTGTTGCGCCGTGGCGTTGTCGAATCACAGGACTCAAAACCACCAAGTGTGGGCCTTCATTCCTGAGAGGCGCCGCTCCAATGTCCTGCTGCACATCCTCGACAAAATGCAAGCACAAGACTTTCCCGTATTTGGAGTCAATGGATACGGAAAGACTCGTTCCATGATTGAGATGCTCTGTTTCCAATGGGGCTTCGGCAAAGTCGGACTTTGGATTGGACGACCTCTTCCGCGTAGCTGATCTCATTGACAACAAAACATTGGAAGACGCGGCCGGCACCAACACTGTTTTTGCCAAGAACATGACACTGGTGCTCTTCCTTTCGCGCCTCATGATCCTCGGGTATTGCTTGAAGGTCCCTGGCTCCCGTCGGACATTCTCAACTGCTCGCTGGGGCTTGCTCCAAGTGTGCCCCAACACGTTCAAGGTTATGTTCGTGTATCTATGCATGAAACCCTGCGATCTCACAACGGCACACACAGTCCCTGTGTCCGACCTGGCCTCTATTGTCCGCAAGGAGTTCGAATCGGTGTGACAGATGCTTGCTGCCCATTGTCCTTACTTTCCAAGCGAGTCCAACTTTCGGATGGTCATCGACGAGGCCCAGATCCTGAGCGACAAGAGCCCCACGTCGTTCGCGTCATCATCCACACAAGGCAACCTACGACTAATGTATGTCATATGCCAGCATGACAACGGTGTGACAACAATTTGGAGATGCTCAGAGATGAACAGGCAGAATACGCAGCTAACAAAATTTTACTTGATATTTTTGACACTTTCAGGTTGCCCCTCGTGTTACACGCATTCCGCTGTGATGGATTTCGAGACGAGCTGACTACCATCAAGGAGGCCATCCATGTTCGGCTCCACCAACCATAGACTACAGTATAAAAATATCTGTCAACACCTATTAAAACAGTGTGTTCCTTGAGAGTACAACAAATCTCATCAGCTTTTTCCTTCCACCAGTCTCCATTTTCTACATTCACCACCACTACTTTGTAACATCATCTACTTTAGCTGAGAAAGCCTTGGACATGATCATCTCATATTGGATCCTGGATATTACAGATAGTAATTTCCTTTCCAATATGAGATGATCATGTCCAAGGCTTTCTCAGCTAAAGTAGATGATGTTACAAAGTAGTGGTGGTGAATGTAGAAAATGGAGACTGGTGGAAGGAAAAAGCTGATGAGATTTGTTGTACTCTCAAGGAACACACTGTTTTAATAGGTGTTGACAGATATTTTTATACTGTAGTCTATGGTTGGTGGAGCCGAACATGGATGGCCTCCTAGTAGAGCATTTGTTTTCGTGTTTATATAATTAGCGATGGTTACTAATATCTCCTTTTCATGATATATCCTATGTGTATATCCAATATAGCACTCGTGATACTGGTGATGATGTAGTGGTAGTTTTAAAAAAAAGTTGGATCACGATTTTTTTAAAAGTAGCATAGTGGCTTTAACAAACATTGGTTGTTGGAAAGAAAGGGTAGATGATACGTTTTTAATGGCGTTATTGCTACACTTTCTCAACAATATTCGACATTCGACATTTGACATTTGGCATTCGATTCGACAGCTGACAAACTGTAGTTATTACCATAGTTATGATATTTGATATGAACGCATTTTGGATGACCTCGTGATTATCGTGATGTTTAATTTTAATACATTCTTGATAAACTCGTAAGTATTACAATGTTTAATGTTGACATACTTTAGGTAAGCCCACGATTTGCACGACGTTTAATATTATTACACTTTGGTTAACTTACAATTGTTATAGCATTTATTGTTATACAGATTGTAGGTAATTACGACAATGGTAAAAACAGAGATATCGCAATTAGACCATGCATTGTGGGTAGTTGTAGATATAACAATTATATCGTTTAAAATAGACGTTTCTTAAAACACATCACATATTTTATAATGCAAATGGCTATTATATTACAACGTTTCTATTGCATTTTGTGTGATAACAAGATAGAAAAAATGTGTTGTTAATAGAGTAATTATGTCGTTAAAAATAGACGTTTCTTAAAACACATCATATATTTCGTGATGCAAATGGGTATGAACATTGTAACATTTCTATCGCATTTTGTATAATAACAAGACAGAAAAATGTATTGTTAACAGAGTAATTATGTCGTTTAAAATAGACGTTTCTTAAAACGTATCACATATTTCGTGATGCAAATGGGTATGAACATTGTGACATTTCTATCGCATTTTGTGTGATAACAAGATAGAAAAAATGTGTTGTTAACAGAGCAATTATGTCGTTAAAAATAGACGTTTCTTAAAACACATTACATATTTCGTGATGCAAATGGGTATGAATATTGTGGCGTTTCTATCGCATTTTGTATGATAACAAGACAGAAAAAATGTGTTGTTAACAGAGTAATTATGTCGTTTAAAATGGACGTTTCTTAAAACGTATCACATATTTCGTGATACAAATGGGTATGAACATTGTGACATTTCTATCGCATTTTGTGTGATAACAAGAGAGAAAAAATGTGTTGTTAACAGAGTAATTATGTCGTTTAAAATAGACGTTTCTTAAAACTTATCACATATTTCGTGATGCAAATGGGTATGAACATTGTGACATTTCTATCGCATTTTGTGTGATAACAAGACAGAAAAAAGAAGTTGTTAACAGAATAGTTATGTCGTTTAAAATAGACGTTTCTTAAAACACATTACATATTTCGTGATGCAAATGGGTATGAACATTGTGACATTTCTATTGCATTTTGTGTAATAATAAGGTAGAGAAAATGTGTTGTTTAAAGAGCAACTATGTCTTTAAAAATAGACGTTTCTTAAAACGTACCCCATATTTCGTGATGCAAATGGGTATGAACATTGTGACATTTCTATCGCATTTTGTATGATAACAAGACAGAAAAAAGAAGTTGTATAAATAAAAGTTATGTAGACTTAGGAAATGTCTATAAAATATCGTTTGTATACTTTGGTGGTTGGGAGAAAATTGGTGGTTACAAAAAAGTTGTCGCAAAACCGCCATGATGAAATACTTTGACATCTGGTTGAGGGGCTTGTTCCCCTATCGTGTTTATCGTTAATAGTTTTAAAAAATCCAAAAGTGTGTTATATAAAGGAATTTTTGCTAATAGTTTACGTTTAAATTCTCTTGAAATAGATGATATATGCATTATATTTCTATCCAATCTATCATGGAATATGAGATAACTTCTTTTATAGTGCAACAAATCTAAAAGTGTATTGTAGTGTAGGCATTTTTCCTAATGGTTTACTAGTTATGCAATGCCAACACTTAAAGAAATTAAGCAAATAATAGCCATTTATATACATGAGCATCATATGGATCCTACAATGGCAATGTACTTGAGAGCTGTTTTGTTACGTGGTAAGTCTCAGCAAGAACTTAATGGTATGTCAAAGGAAGAACTGTGGGGATTGGTAGACTTTTTTGCACCAGATTTACAAAAACATATGCATGCAATTGGAGCATTATCATGGTCAGCACACAGAAAATTTGCTTCAGAGTAAAGTGGTTTTTAAAAAGTTTGTAGTACATATCTCTGCAAACAGTAAGCTATTCAACATGTCCGCTATACCTAAATCCATTAACAAGGCGCTGAACTCATATGCCCATCTTATCTCTGATGTGGGCAAAGAGATTGCATTGCCTGGCAAACCGAAGACGGGCTGGAAAAAGTACTCAGAGATATTCTGCGATAGTTTAATACTCTGGGGATTGCACAACCGGGCTGCACTTGTTGACGAGCAGCGCAAAAACACCACTTCCAATATTCGCGAAGCTTTTAAAGGCCTCGATGTTAGCCACTCCATGGTTAAAGTTGTTAACGAGGGTTATATCAAAGACAATAGTTTTTTTAGCTCTAAACTACTAGAAAAACATAGAAAAAAGTTTAGAAGTTCGGCCTTATACCATGCTGGTTACTTTAGCATTAAGGTAACGCTCCATGAACTAGAGGCCATATCTCTAATATCCGAGATAATACCAATACTTGATGAACTGGAGGTTGACTACGTTATCCTTCATGATATAGATATTGCTACGGATTGTAGATATGTCACAAGCCGTCCAATTCTTCAACAGTACCTTCAAGAGAGATTTGGAGAAAATTTAGATATTGCCAACGATCTCCATAAGGTTGGTAACCACTGTCTTTCTTGGTTTGGAGTCACCGAAAAAGACCAAAAGGTCCGTTGTAAGGTCTACAACAAACTTGTACAGATGTTGGAGAGTGCTGAAGTAAAAATGTCGTTGGGTTCAAGAATGGAGAATTTTGTCATGGATGTGGATAAGGACCTACATAAGAGACTTCGAAAGGCAAAGAAAACAGGTCTAACAAGACTTGAACTTACCTTTTATGGACAGGAGATATATACATTCTCCTATTATAAAGGAGTTTTGGATGCCATAAAGGAAGAGATCCAAGAATGTCCCACCTTCTGCGTAAAGCACAAGGCATATTGGAAGTACATAGTTGGCAATATATCATCCATGGTAGGTATTCATGTAACAATGGGTGAAAAATCGGCATTCGCATATTGCCATTGGTGGAACTCTGTTACAGGTAAGAAGTATGGTTCATATCGTAACAATGTCGAGAAAGAGGAAGCAATGACGTTGTTAGCCAACTATAGCTTCAACGATAGACCAATATACTTTTTGGAGGTTGAGATGGATGAGAATAGCATCAAGGATATTACAGTTACCAAGTACAAACGGCCTGACGAATGTACAGCAATAACACTTGTTGCAGGAGCACATAAAGGCATGTACCCATACATTTACGATGATGATGTTTTACAATTCGAGGATATGGGTATAGTGGAGGTAGATAATGTAAAGATCCAATGGCCTGAGAGAAGAATCCGCAAAGGTGCACCACCAATTGTTGATATTCATCTAGAAAACATGAATGGTGAGAATTTTATACAAGTCCATGATAGAGCTATCCACAAAGCAACATATAAAGCTGGATATAATGTACTTGAAATAAATACCAGCTATACAGTCATAGCAATTGCAATGGATATGTATCACAACAAAGAATATATTTTTGCAACATTGTCCAATGGTATTAAAGTACGATGTGGACTTAGTTTAGAAATAAAGATCGTTGCATGGCTGGAAGAATATCCCGATGGCCAAGTTCCGTATATGAATTTCACCACATTGGAGGCCTTTCAAGTCCAAATTATCATATGGTGTTTGTTACATCTCTGCAGATCTTGACGATATCCACCGCGTCCATTAGAGGAGAGTGTATGTATGATATCAACCATTTAAAACAACCACTGTAACATTCCTTGCGCGATTATCCTACTAAACACAACTACATTCTCCAAACAACAAAGTCTTCTTATTTTTCGCACACCAAACTCTTGAATATGTCCATCTACTATTAACCTGTAACCCTCACTGCAAGATTCGACAGAGTAGTTCTTGTATGTGATCATCTAAAGCACTTGTATTCTCAACTGTATCTT